ACTACTACTACTACTACTACTACTACTACTACTACTACTACTACTACTACTACTACTACTACTACTACTACTACTACTACTACTACTACTACTAATAATAATAATAATAATAATAATAATAATAATAATGATAATAGATAAAGAATAGGTTCATTTACAGCCGGTTTGAGATGTTAATTTACATTGCATCACATTATTAAGGAAGAGGATTATTCTTCTCTGCTATGAAAAACATTTCAACAGTCTAATTTCCCGATGCACTTCATGAGAACGGAAGGGTCACTGGTTGGTCACTGATGCTTTTAATGCCTTGGTTTTTCTTAAGTACTCGCCAATATTGCTGAAAGTTAGTGTTCGCCAAAACATTGATGTAAAGTGCGCATTACGTACTCTGCTTCGCACATCATCTGATAATTAAACACCGCGCATTGTTGGTTAATTAGAGGTCATTTAGATTCAGATCAAAGCACTGAATAAGACAATTATGCTTCTCATCGAAAGACATGGGACTTGAGACAAGCTGATTCATACATTTCTAAACAGATAACGCTTTTTCTGGGCAGGTGGCGTAAATTAAATATTTAGTTTATATTTTAGACGTCCTTTTTCGAGGAAGACGCCAGGATGCAGTGGAAACCCACTTTACGGCACCCGTTCTGCTCTGATCTAAAAACTAAATATATTGTTTCTCGTTAATTTAAAGCAAAGCCTCCTCGCCTGCATTTAAATAAACGTACTTTGGACATATCACGTTCTCGCCAACGAATGATTTTTATTTTATTTTTACTTTATCCTACGATTCAGGTTAAATTTTAGAAAATTTACGACACCTTTTTGAAAGTGGGCGTTATCTCAGCTAACTTTAAGCTCGACTGGAAGGCCAAAAACCCCGGAGGGTGCTGCCATATATGGACTATATAGGTATGTGCGCAGTGAAGGGTATGTTTTTCAAGCAGTTTACTCTGTAATAGGGTATATAAATCGGAGAGTTAAGGTCTAGAATAGGGTATCGTGTTTCAGAAGAATGATCGATTGGTTGAAAATTTTAGTCTAGAATATGAAACTGGGAATTTCCACTCAAAAATATTGAAAAAAAATTCAAATCAGTTTTGTTTTGGCGGGACTGAGCTACTGACCTCAATAGTTTCAGGAAAACAGCTACTCTAGGAAGGGGAGGGGGATTTGAGGAGTTTAGTCTAGTATAGGGTAGCAAAATTCAGCTGAACTGGCTCTGGTATAGGCTAAGGGTTCCAGGGTCCCAGTGGCACATCCCCCCTAAATATTCTTAAAGTGCCCCCCGGGGGCAAAGGTTAGAGAGCTTTAGATTTGACGACGAGCACGACTACTAGTACGAGATTTAACTTAAAGTTTTTTCGCGTATTCTAGAAAAATATTCAACCCGGAAAGCTTCATTGTACCATCAGTTTCACCTGAAAAATTACTGCGGTTATCTTTATTGGAGTTGGTATAGTCCTTTCCCGGTCGCAAAATGATCAAACTTCTGAAATTTGATAACTTGTTCCCGGCACAACGACATTCTCGCCAAATCTCGTAGTAGAGAGACGATAGCTATCATGTTGTTTTCCCGCCAAAATGACGTTGGCTCACGAAAGAGCACTGAGCACATAGTACTGAGAAAATCTAGCTCGTACTTGTAGTTGTCCTTGTCTCAGAATCTAAAGCTCTCTATTATTGCTCACTGGATTGTGGCCATGGCTTTCCCTTACTAGAATTCTTGTGTCATGATAATTGCTCTATTTAGTGTTTCCATAATTATTATTATTATTATTTATCTTTTTATTTTCTATAAAACATGGCAACACCTGGCCATCTGGATAATTATTATTCCATAAATAGGCGCTTTTTTTAGAATTGAATGAAAGACACTTGTAAACATTACAGTGAATAAACGCTTTTAATGTTAACATCCTAATAAAGGTCAAGCTATGAGTGTTCCCTGATTCAGAGAGAAATCTAACCACTGAAATTTAAGGGCTTTAATAAAATGTGCTCTGTTTAAAATGCTACTGTAAAAATCTTTTAAACTCCAATCTGCATTGTTTCTGTAAATTTTACAATGTAGTGACTAAGAAGGTAACTTAACGCCTTGATCAAATTCAAACAAAACTTCGTGACAAGATATGGACTAATTGTTCCCAAAATTTGGTTTGTTTTTCGAAATCAAATACAAATCAACCCTCATTTATTTAGAACTAAAAGCAACGCAACAAAAGGTCCCTAGCTTCAAAGCCCAGTGACAGGAACAACTTAAATATTGAAACAGGTTTTAACTTCTTAATAATCCTACGCAATCAGTTTGCCTGGATGTTCATTTTGTTCCCACATCATGAGGAGATCAAGAATGGCTCAGACTTCGTGTCTTTTTTACTTGCTTCTCACTTTTGTCAGTTCAACCGTTCAGTACCCTGACGAAGGTACGTACAGATTCGGTGTCCCCATTTTTCATTTAGCTTTGTCTTTTAACAGACTGATGTTTTACACATACTGCGTTAGTATTCACACTGAACTACTCACTTAATTGGCGCTATACTTGGCTGCTTCAAATCAGACCATACCTTTCGCTCTAATTTTGTTAAAATTTTGTTAAAATTGTTATTGTTGCCACCTTTAATTTCTCTCTTACGAAATTAGCTTTGAGTGGAAAATAACAAAATATGACGACGACAGGAAAAAAGTGGTCGCATTAATTAAAAGCAAAATTAAAGGCCGTTCAACAATCACTGACATCTGACTTTCGGGATCATTTAAAATTCTTCATAGCCTTGGAAAGTCTCCAGTATGAAACCCTTGCGTTAATCGTAGTTCTTCTGTTATCTCGCTAAAAGCATACTGGAACTTTTTACCAAAGCCATTCACAAGCAATAAACAAAATAGTCGGTTACCTACTTTTCTAGTTTTGTACCTGAGAAGCAAAAGGGCGGTTTCTTTTGGGATTATACCTCTTGGCTTTGCTCGATTGGCCAATCGTGTTACAGTATAACGTCAAAGCAAAGTATTGATTGATTTCTAGGAAGTTCTCGAGCATGAAGTTTTTTCACCTGAGCGTTCGCGTAACCAATCAAAAGCCACGCGCGTTTGTATCCGTTCGATAAACCAATCAAATCGCTCTATTTTCGTTCGTTTGTTGTTTTTTGTTTTGTTCGCTCGTTTTCATTTCAAGGTCATAGGAGAATCGCTCTATATCTCGCCACATGTAAGGGGATCTGATTTCCAGAATCCAAGAAATTTTGCTTGAGGAATCCGGAATTCGGACATTTTTGCTTGTGGCATCTGGGCTTTGGAATCGGAATACCGGCTCAAGTAATGTGGAATCCCGCTAACGATTGGATTCCGGAATCCAAGTTCCGCTGGCAAAAATTCCGGAATCCAGTATCTGGAATCCGGAATCCACGGTATGGAATCCAGACTGCGAGTCCAAGACTGTCTTGGATAAAGGCGATAATGAAATGATTTTCTTTTTTTCTTAATTAAATCTAAGTGCTTTTTAATCGAAAGGAAATGTTAATTGTAAAAAGGATTTTAATAATAAGCATTGTTATCAATAAAATTATTATTATTATTATTATTATTTACTTTTTATTATTCTTGTTTATGAAGGAAATGAAGAGGAATCTCTTCATGAAGGTGATATCAGACTGTCATATAAGCAAGAGATTGCACTTGAGATGTTTGGAGATCCTACAGCTCCAGTTTTGGGGGCCCGAGGAATAACTAAGTATCAGAACCTTCTGTGGAACACACGTGTCGTCCCTTACAATATCTCAAGTGAATTAGGTGAGCTGAACAACGAGAGAGAAAAAAGAAAGCTTTTTGGGGTGTTCGCAGCTTGTTTTGACACATGCGCACGAAAAACCCTAATTCAATGCTATGCATTAAGGAAACACTATTACTATTATATACTATTTTACCATTAGGTTACTATTATAAGATAGCAGGAGCCCATAATCCTGGTCGAATTTTTGGGAATTGAAAATCATGTTGTTTCGTACACTCCTCTATTGTGTAAAAGCCATTTCAAGCAGTTCCGAGCCATTTCGAGCCGTTTTCAGGTGATTGTGATGGGTCTTCGTTTTCTTCATTTGGGGGAATTTCTAGAAAAAAAGGACACTAGACAATTTCGTTGATAACTGAAGATCTTGTTGTTTGTTACACATCTCAGGTCGAGATACCCATTCCTGGCTATTTATAAGTGATTCTGAGGTGTGTCTTCGTTGTTTGGTTTTAGGTCTTAGGTCGTCGTTTTCTAGCCACCGATAACTAACGTCTAATCGATTCTTGAGTCTTCACTCGTCACAGCCTCCCACTCACAGGTTCTTTTGGGTCGTGACGCATTCCTCAGAGGAGGTTGTAATGAAACCCTCAGAAAGTCTGAGAGGCTAGACGCTTTGCCACTTCCAACTATTTGCATGTTTATTTTAGATGAGACCCCCGCGGCTAAAAGTGTTATTTTGAGTGCCATGAAGGAGTGGGAGCAGAGCTCGTGTTTAAAGTTTGTAAGAAGAACAACCGAAGAAAACTACATCGCGTTTTTCAAAGGCAATGGGTAAATGAATTATCTTCCTTTAATTTGAAGTTTCCCTTCAACATTGCTCCTGACAAAACATCAATTTTTAAGCCTCTGTCGTGTCGTAACAACAACAACAACAACAGTTTATTTCTACTACTGTAGACAACTAAAGGAATTTACAAGAATATAATTATAAATAAATAAACAGTACATACAGTAGCAGGAAACCCAAAATAACTAAAAAGCTAAACAAGTTGGGTGACTGTAATTATGATAATTAAAACTGAGAAAGCCAGAAAAGAGGCACAACGAATACATTGGTAAACATAAATATCATAACTTGGTACAAAAGTAAATGTACAGAACAAAACAAAACATAAATAGATAAATAAATATAAACCATCACTCTATCTTTATAAAATCTCTACTATCGCTATCGTTTCGCTATCATCATCGTTATCACTACCGTTACTGTTAGCAATTTTGTTATCGTTATCAAAATAACGATCTCAGGCTATCTTGGACGAAAATTTGTTATGAACAGTGTTAAAATGACTCCTGAGTTATCATGACGGTTATTTATAATGTTGAATACTATACTTATAATATGTACTTTGAGTTGTAAACAATCTTAATGTTCGACTTAGTGCCCTCCTTCCAGTAATCTTGTTTATCATTGCCAGGTGCTGGTCATGGGTAGGACGGCAAGGTGGAATGCAGCAAATTTCACTGGCTAGCGGTTGCTGGTCTCAAGGAACAGTCGTCCACGAGATTGGTAAAGGAATATAACGCATGCCACTTTAAAAACACTGCCACGCGACAATTTTTTTTTTAATTTTTTGACTTTTTTTAATTTTCTTGTTTTAAAGTTTCTTTTAATGAATGCAATCTGGCATGTAGAGAGCAAGAAGACACTGGGTACGAGATTGATTTTAATGTCGAGCCTATCAACATTCGTGAAGTTTAAAAAAAAACAAAAACATGATGCTGCCTCGTACCGATGCGCGTTTAGCGACTGGCGCGATTTTGGTTGCTACCCGCGGGGCGCCCTTCCCAGCGTCCTTTGCGTTAAACCTGAACATTCCCATGGTCCATTCCGCGATACTCCTTGGAATTGTTTGCAGTCGCGTTTTCCATTTTCGAAACACTTGAGTCGCCTAGGAACGAGGCAGATCATGATGCATCCAGCGGTGGATTCAGATCTCCAGGCTGAAGGGGGAGGTGGTGGACGTACTCTGCAAAATTTTGTTCGGGGAGGCTCCGATCCGAGTTCCAATCACTTACTAAGTAACGCATTTATTAATATGTCTTTTTTACAGAAAAAGTACTCCTTCCGCATACCTTTCACATACTACTTGTAGTTTAAGATTTAAAACGCTGCTTCTCTTTTGACCGCTGTAAATGCACCGCGCGTCTTTTAAATGTGAACAAATCACTTAACCAGAAACTTTTGTTATCTTTTTATACAGCCACAAATGCGCCTTTTACGTCATTTCACAGACCGCAATGATTGATTGCCATACCCTTTCTTATACCTCAAATAGTGAAACCTTTACCCTTTAATATACCATGTATACATAAGCGTAAAGAAGGGACCCGACTCCCCGTTTAGGACTAACCCTCCCCTGGGATCTTCAAGTAGGTGGGGCCCTGCTCATCCTGGCGCGATGAAAATAGGGGAAAGTTCTCTCAAAAATAACTTTTATGTACCCCGCAGCCTTTAGTTTTGCCTACAATTAAGGTGGTTAGGGCCGGGTTACCCTCTCTTCAGTTCATCCGGTCTTGGGATCATATTCAGTAGGTTTTAAAGAAAACACAGATATCGGCTCAAGTTCTATCGTGAAGCAAGTAAATAGTCTAAAGTAACCTATTCTTATTTCCTTAAGATAAAACAAACCGAAATCTTATTCTTGAGAACAAAAACATGTTATTCATGTATACACAATCTGCACCCTTTCGTTAAATGATGGAAGCAGTCGACTAAGACGCATTTTTTAAAGTCATTTTTCATGAATACTATCGTATCTATCATTTCATCATTTATTTGTTGTTATAATATTTTGCAGGTCATGCTATGGGATTTTGGCATGAACAGAGTAGACCTGATAGAGATGAGCACGTGGAAATAATATGGGAAAATATAGAAGAAGGTTATTTAAAGAATCTAATCATGATTCAATGTTAAAAGGAAAATATTAAAAGTTTATCATGTTTCGTCACCACCACCACCACCATCATTATTATCATCATCGTCATCGTCATCGTCATTGTCATCGTCATCGTCATCGTCAACGTCATTGTCATCGTCATCGTCATCGTCATCGTCATCGTCATCGTTATCGTCATCGTCATCGTCATCGTCATCGTCAACGTCATCGTCATCGTCATCGTCATCGTTATCGTCATCGTCATCGTCATCGTCATCGTCATATACATTCCCCAAAAGTAATGATAGCAACATTTCAGGTTAAAACACCGTAGTTTTCAATTGAATTTTTGTCCTTAATATTGCCAGGCGGTTTTTTACATGAGGAAACTTTCAAAGTTTGATTTTAAGTGACGCGACACGAGGAAACATGTCTTTTTCAAAAACGTAGTGTTCCGCACGTTTTTGCTTTTTGTTCCTTTAATTGCTTTAGGAACAACCTAGGAACGCACAATATAGGAACTTTATTTGCACAATAGGAACAACGGTCGGCAAATTTCGGAACAATCTGGTCCGTTAGCAGCAAATTGGAACACAAAGTTCCTTTTCATTTCAGTCAGAAGGAACAACTGGTTCCTCTTTGCTCTTTTCAGGAACAAAAGGCCCTCTTTCAACAGTTCCGATTTCCCTTCATGTTCCTTTCGAAGTGATTGGGGAACAAATGTTCCCAATCTAATTTCTCACTCTACACAGTAAGGAACAAATTGTTCCTATTTACTGGCATATCCACTGCTGTTCGGAACGCCTTGTTCCCTTTCGGTTCAAATTGTTCCTATTCATGCCCAACAGGAACGGAATTGTTCCTAATCGAGGTGGTTTTTTGTTCCTCAAAATGAGTGTTATGTTCCGCGTATAAATGGGAACAGGTTCCGAATTTGTGACAAAGGAACTAGCGTTCCATTTTGCGCAAAGAGTAAAAAGGAATAGGGAACAATAGTTCCTATTTATCGTAGGCTATCTGAAACTACTGTCCATCACCTCGGCTATACAAATTTATCAAAACATATATCCTTCAACAATCAAGTTAAGTACGAGACTTGCCCGCTACATGTTCAATCGCGTTCGGGCTTGCCCGCGCAAGTTCAGGCTTGTGTCTTTATTCCTTTTGATTAATTGTGTACCAAATACGGACAAGAAAACAATGGGGCAAGGGGCAAGAATGACCAAGTGTGGGCAGAGATGGGCTAACAAATATCTCATTGGCGAGTAGGATGATCTCTTGGGGACCCTTTTGCTAGTATAAGTGCGTGCATACTTTAGAACGATATCGATTTCAAGCTAATCCTTAAGATGAACAAACGAGTCAAGGATGTCAACTGGTCAAAGTTAGCAAATGCTTCGCCTAAACCAAAGAGACTTCACTTAGAAGAGGATGATTGTGATGGTCTTTTTCACTGCCCAGTGCAAATTTGTAACCACGATGGATTCACTACGCAAAGAGGCTGTAGAAAACACGTAAAGAACAAGCACAGTTGGTACTATTACTTCGACGAGAAGCCAAACAGTGCTCAAATGGAATCGTTTCATAATCAATCCAAGAAAATTGAAGCCAACGATCGGACGATTCCACGTGCAACGAGAGCAATTGCCTCATTCGACTTGAAAAACAACATTGCTAAGAGTTTTTTCTCATGGCTAACTGGCAGCGGCGGGGGTTGTAAAAGCGATCGACAAGCACAGCAAATTGTCAGCAGGTGTTTAAAGTTTCTCAAATTCTGTTGCGAAGACGAAGAGGAACTCACATTTGGTATTGTTGATTTTAGCCTATGTTCACCGAATCTCCTATTTAAATTCGTTGATACGATGCAGGATGAGTGGAAACTCGGACACGCGGGACGCATAGGCTACTTGGACGCCATTGCAGAATTAGCGGATTTCAGAAAAGTAAATGGCGCATCAGAAACAGTATGGAGAGGCCTGTCCACAGCAGAAATGTACTTAAAAAGGGTGCGAAAAACCGTCTCAAAGATGATGAGGTTGCAATGGACCAGCGAACTCGATATTGACGCTTTAGAAGCCAAGGGGCACTGGGCCACCATGGAAGAGCTTTTAGAGGTGGTGGGGCGTTACTTGCCGCGCTACGAGAGCGTGCTTAAAACATGCAGGGATAAACCAGATACTGTTTCGCCACTGGAATTATCGTTTGCTACCAAATTTCTGGCCGTCTATTTGTTTATCAAGGTTAAAGGCTCACGTCCGATGACATACCAATATCTAACCATAGAAATGGTCGACAAAGCTAAGACTAACGGTGGATTCATAGACCAAAAACAATTCAAGACAGCTGGAAAGTATGGTTTTGATTCGCTTTTCCTGACAGACACCAGTATGCAAGTCCTGGAAGGCTACATCAACCACATTCGCCCACTTCTCAAGCCTAATTGTGATTATGTTTTAGTCACGAGAAATGGTCGACAGCATAACAAGCTAGGAGAAGCAATGAGTAAATTGGTGTTCGATGCAACAGGCAAGTATGTTCACCCAACTCGCTACCGCCAAATAGTGGAGACGGCAAGCTCTAGAACTCTTAGCAGCAGCGCGCAAGATGCGATCTCCGAGGACCAGAAACACAGCTCTGTTGTGGCAAGAGTTCACTATCAAAAACGGCGATCTCGCGAAGTCGCCAGCAAAGCGCATGCATTTTTGGAAAGACTACAGGGCGAGAGGGGATCAGAGCTAGAGATGGACGTACGCTCCAGGCTTTCTGAGAATTCAAGTTCTTCACAAGAACAAGATGTTGGCAAAACCGATACGTCTTCTAATGACGAAGAAGACGTAATTACAGATACAACACGCGAGCCTTTAGTAGGAGTGCCAAAATTGAGGCGCGAAAATGCGTTCAGAGTGACCGAAACAAGCACGCGACGAAAGAGTTTAATGTTCACCCCCGAGGAAGACAAATTTCTCAAAGCTGGACTTAAACGGTATGGATTTGGGCAATGGAAAGCGATTCTAACAGACCCCGACTTTCAGTTCCAAAAGGGAAGAACGGCTAACTCTCTTCTGAGCCGAGCCGCTAGAAGATTTGGATCATATTCAAAATCGACGGAGCGTTGACAAGGTCCTACTTAACGAACGAACTCAAGGGCATGTAGCTATCTTAAATTCTTGAACTCAAATAAATGAATTATTGCAAACTTTAGCCCTACGTAAAATGCGAAAACAAATATAGAAAGAGGAGATAATGTAAGCTAAATCCATAACGTCAATATTTATTTAATGACTGAATTCCTCGGCATGACCATGCCATCATGGTATTTGAAACTGACAACAAAGCATTAATAATACAAGTGTTCCGGGCGTAAAGGCCTTCAAATTAGTTTAACTTAGTATATCTTAAATTGCATGTCGGGCACCTAAGTTGATCCTACTTTTTTACACGTTTCTGCGAACTGAAAAAGCTAGTCACCCGCTTCTGTCCCTCGGTTGTTTGGCTTCTCGAGAGTTTTGCTCGCTTCGAAGGTCTGTTGTCAGGTGAGGGTACTCGCCTCAGTAATGGTGAAGAGCCTGTGCAAATGCTTTCATCAAATGAGGGCTCGTAACAAGGTGTCTTCGGTGTAATGAACATGTCCTCGCTCTCCGATTCGACGACCTCCTGGCTCGTAGGTGGAGTAAACATCGTCTGGTGCGTGTCCTCAGGCGGGTCGTAAGATGGTGTCTTTGGCGTATTACCATCGTCGTTTGCAGCCGTTGGTCTAGACATGTTTTGGTTGCTACCTTCGACGATAACCGGTAAGGGTGAGTACACATCTCTGACGGAACTCGCGTACCTAGGATCCACTAATCCACGTTTCACACAGATTTCTTTCCTTTTTTCCACGGCCATCTGCAGGCGAAGGGTACCTTGTTTTTCGTGAAATGCGCGGAGTTTCTCACAATCAATCTCCAAAAGACTCGTCAGCGTTGCACTCATGTCGGGGTCTGTGCCTCTCTCTAAACGCATATTGTTCTCAGCCATTTCTTTTTCTATTTCTAACAGCCACGGATTAGAGAATGCTTTTTTAACTTTCTCCTGTTCATCTCTTTCCCTTTGCTTTTCGAGACGTTCTGCCCTATCATTCAAGGCCTGTTGTTCTCTGCGGGCGAGGTCGGTTGGTAGTGGCTCGTCGGGATGCGTAATCAGTCGATCTGCCTGCGATTTGCTGGTCACTCCCAAATTTACTAGATATCGTCGTCGTCCGGCGATTTGACGATCTTGGATGGCTTTGTGCTCTGTTTGAGCGTTTCGCAGGAGCATGCTCAGCTGTCTGTGCCGAAACCCACCCGGCATCGCCTTTTCGAGCTCATGGCGAAGCTTGTTTATGTGGTTGTTATCTTCATTTTCATCGGAACTGTCGCTTTCGGCTTCACTCTCCTCTTCATCCGTGAGTGAGATTTCACCGCCCTCCGTGTTGCACTCGGGGGCGTTCTCGTCCAGTAGGGAAACGGACAAAATTCTCTGAATGTCTTCACTTTCTAAACCGTCCTCACGATCTCCTAAAGTCCTTCCAGTCTGTGCGGTAGTGGAGTTTGTAGCAACCATCTTTTGGGCCCATACGATGCAGCCCATTGCATGTTCTCGCAGCCACTGGTTGGCCTCCGGGTTAACTTGCGGCAAGCTTCTGAAGAAGTACTTGTGAAGTCTTCGGTTCATCGCGTCATTGTGGGCCTCGCCAAAGTCCATCTCTTGTTGGCATGTAATGTACATACTTGCACGGCAGTGGAACCCCTGGGCCTTCTTCCATTTTACATCGTGGGATGTAAAACCGCCTTGACAAATTATCTTCCAGTCATCGATGTCGAGCAGGTTGTTGTATGCCTCGTCGAGAAAGATAACTTCCGTGGAGCTGTCAATCATCGACTTGTTAAAGCTCTTCTGTTTGGTCACGCGAGCAATTCGGCTTAACGGCACAATTTGAAACACTGGGCTGAACAGGCTCGTTTTGCCGCTGTCAGAAGCTCCGATGGCACATGGCACAGGTCGCTTATGTTCTTTATCTCTGAATAGCGCGAGGAAATCAGCGCAAAACTGTTGTATTTGCCCTTCAGGTAGGCTATTGGTTAGAATTTGCTCGAAGTATTTAGGATCGGGCTCTTGGAGGCTGTCATAGTGGACATACGCTCTTGGTGATGTGATACCTCGCTGTAGAAAACAGAAAAAAAAAGAACTGTTAAAACATACAAACATGTAATAAATAGGTAAAACAAGTAGAAACCTTTACCCGCCAACCAACTTGGAGTAGTCCTAGATTAGGTAACTCGAAACTGAATAGCACTTGATTTGACATATTCCAAGGTTAATTATGTTGTATAGTAATAGAAAAACGACTTTTCTATTGAACAGATACATTGTCATTTTAGCCAGCAGATAAATTGTAGCCAAGGAAATTGTGATAACGGAATTAAAACAACCTTTACTGATGAAAACGTATGCTCTCACCTCTGATTCTGGGATCACTCCTTGTACAAAAGCTCCTTCAGAGAAAGACCAAAACCAGCCATTCTGCACTTCAACCAAGTTTCGATCTATGTTAAGTTGGCCAATCAGGGAACTTTCTGGCTCACTCAGAAGTGGTAGAACTCGTTGAAAATGTTGGACAAGCCTGTCTTTGAAGCACTCGTTCCCCATAAGATTTAACAGAAATGACTTCATGGAGCAAAGGAACTTGAAAGTAAACTGTGATTCTGCAACTTTCTTGTACACATCTCCCCGGTAGACACTAAACTGAAGCTTTTTCATTGCGGCATGGATGTCGTTACAAAGAACTGTTAGTGGGCAAGACAATGGCTTATGTGGTGTACACGGTATTTCTACGCCCGGGGTGCTGCTTTCGTTTTCATGGAGACCAAAACAATCGATTTTCAAACCAGCGCGGCGCAATTCTCGGATAGATGTAGTCATCATCGGTTTGAATTCTTCCCTAAGCACTCGCACACGAACCACATTTTCTGTCGACAACATTTCTTGAGACTGTTCTTCATCACTAATATCTATTTCGTCTTGAAGGGCGCTGTCAATAAAGAATAAAAAACAGACAAGTTTACTATCTCAGAATAAATTTTTGAGTAGTGCATCAAAGTTTGAATTAACGCTCTTTTTCGTGTTGAAATTCCCAGATGGTCTAAATCGCACTTAATTAGCCACTTGCACCCTTGGATATTGTTAGTTATTTGAGTCAAGACAGTTAATTAGAGATATTGCTTGACAAGGAGAAGATGGCAACAATAAGGGTGGACTTCTAGGTGTTGATTTCTTTGGTCAACTATAGCCTTTACTATAACAGTTTTGCATTGAGTATACTAACCTGAGACAATGCTGATAAGAAGCCTCCACAAAATTCATCAGGCAAGGATTCTTGTGATCTTTTAAAACTTGGCAGAGTTGGTTTAAGTCGTGAGAATGAGCACGTTGAATTTTCATGGGATTAACGGCTGAACCATTTTGAGTTTGGCAAGCCACCCAATACGAAATTGCTGGGAAAACTTGCTTTCCAGGCGTTGAAATTTGAGAGGGGTTTATGGCAGATTCTTCGTTAGACTCGTCGATTTCTCGTCCTTCATCTGATGTTGTTGATTTTTTCTTTTTGCTGTCAAGCTTTGAGGTGCTTATTGCCGAAAAGAAAAAGCAAACCTCGCTCAGTTTCGACAATTCCAAATCACATTCATCTCGCTTTTCACAGATCCAATTCCAGGCTTGTTGAATTTCTTCATCGCTTACTCTCCAAACACACTTAAATGCTACAACAGAACACGTTTTCTCAATTGCTGCTACTATGTGACACTCCACTTTATCTCTTATAACTTTGCTGTTTAGCTGCGAACAAGGCTTGCTCATCTTGACTAGCCAACGAAGTCGAGTAAAAGCGTTTTTTCAAGGCCTCTTGGCCATGTTATATCTAGCACAATACTTAGGGGAATAGAACAAGTCTGTGCCATTGGCTGGATTAGCTGACTGAAAGTGCGAGCATAAATTAACCTCAGTCTGACTAAATTATTCAGTCCAAATACGCCTCACACGCGATAACCGGTATTCCCTTCACACACGAAAAACATTAGCAAACTACCTGTGGAACTAAATCTTAACGGTACTTGTTAAAATTATTCTTGCTTTTGGTGCCTAAAAAGAGATAAGCGGAAACCAAGGGTATGATCTGAAGACAAAAAACAAGGATCTTGAAATCAGTATCAGATGTTAAAGTGTACAGCGATTTAAGCGTAAACTACGGATATGGTCTGAATATTAATATCAAGGATCTTGAAATTGCTTTTTAATGTTAAAGTGTACAGCGAGATAAGCGTAAACTACGGATATGGTCTGAATATTAATATCAAGGATCTTGAAATTGCTTTTTAATGTTAAAGTGTTTAGCGAGTTAAGCGTAAACTACGGGTTTGGTCTGAATTTAATTAACAACAAAAACAAGAATAATATAAAATAATAATAAATAATAATAATAATTATAATAATTTATTTTATTATTATTATTATTTTATTTATAATTATTATTTTTTAGATTTTCATTTTCTTTTTTTTTTTTAATTAAGTTAATTAATTCAGTCCATCCCCGTATATCACGCTTATCTCGCTGTACACTTTGACATCAAAAAGCAATTTCGGGATCCTTGTTGATAGTATTCAGACCATACCCGCAGTTTACGGTTAAATCACTGTACCCTTCAACATCAGATACTGATTTCAAGATGCATGCTATTAGTATTCAGGCCATACCCGTTGTTTACGTTTATATCGCTTTTCACTGTAACATCAGTAAGCAATTTCTTGACCTGTCTCTTTAGTATTCAGGCTATTCCCGTGTTTTTCGCTTATCCTGCAATAAACTCTGGGATCGAAGAAGTCTTCAGTAACCCATGCTTCTCACTTTTCCGATGCAAACAATGCAACAAATAGAAGTATTAGTCTAGCAGCAGTAGTAGTAGTAGTAGTAGTAGTAGTAGTTGTTGTTGTTGTTGTTGTTGCCGTTGTTGTTGTTACTCTTAATTTGTCGCAAAATCATTGGAAAAATGAGAGAAATTGGTAGTGTGGGAATTTCTCTTGTTAGACCAAGTGAATAGCGTGTTTAGCGTGAACAGCGTGTTTGCTTTTCCTAGGCTTCTTTTACTTTAAGGAGGGAAAGAGAAAAGGGAACTAAAATTTTGGGGAATGATCATTACCATCCTCCTCATGATCGTCGTCATCATCATAATTAACATCATTATTATAAATTTTTCTCTCTCACACTTTTGATCTATTTTGGTAATAGATGTTTCTACTGTCTGAGGCTCTCGTTCTCACGCGATTGTTATTTGCTATTTGCGAGATGTGAACTGGGAATAACCTTAAAATTTATGTCATTAGCCAACTACAATAAGAATAACTTAGGTTATTAATTGATTAAAACATTAAATTATTTATTTTTAAAAGGAAAAGTGCATAACTTTCGGAAGTACAACGTGTCACAAATTGATTCATTGGGGATCCCGTATGACTACATTTCTGTCATGCACTACTCTCCCACGGCGTTTGGTATCAATGGTTCCACAACAATCAAAGCCAAGAACTCTTCTGTCATTCAGCTTGGTCAGCGGATAGGACTCAGCCCCAAGGACGTTACGCAGGCGGACTTGTTGTATCGGCGTAACGGTGAGAAACAATTAAGAAAACCACGTAAATGCAAACTTTAAAGTTATGTTAATACCCGTGACTTACATGAAGTCCTTTCTTAATGATGTATTTTTGTATTTATGCTGATTTATAGAGAATGGTTTAGAGTTTTGGAATCAGGTCCATTTGCACGATGGCGTCATTTTACTACCAGGGACAGAATAATTGAGGGTTTTGTTTTCTTGTGCAAATTACGGCTTTTGTTATTTAAACCTTACTGAGATGACCAAATTTAAATACGAAAGAAAAACGAAGTAAATTTTGGTCTTAGTAGTAAAAAGAAGTCATCTTGCAAATGGCCTTTTAAACTCAGAACTTTTAAGCCCTTATTTATTTCCACAAGCACGGTGCCTGACTGCATTACTGTCTTGTTTATATTCTCGTTTCTAAGTATAAAAAAAACTACATAAAGTCATCTGCTAAGACATGGAAGTACAGAAAACACATGTTAACTCCCAACAATGTCAAACAGCAAAAATTGTAAAATACTAAAAAAAAAAAAATGGTTTAATTTTAATGGCGTCTCCTTAATTATTTCTACCCGTGAAGATTTAGAGGTGACAATGATGATTAACGACGATGTTAATAATAGATAATAATTACAGCTGAACCTCTCTTAACGGCCACCTTGGGGACAGACGAAAGTGGCCGTTGTAAAGAGGTTTTAAACAAGAGTCAATGTAAGGATTTTTTTGCTCGCCGGGACGAAAGAAGTGGCCGTTGTAGTGAGGTGGCCTTTAGCGCAGGCTCGACTGTACTGAATCAGTATGGCTACAGGAATTTGGCCGTTGGATTCCTCACCCTACATGTATGTACGGTAGTCGAATCTAATCTTTTAAATTCTGATTTCAGAAAAATCGTTCCGGATTCAAAAGCAAAAATATCCGATATTACGGAATCTGTTTTACCCTACGTGGACCAAGATTCCTGTTAGATTTAAAGTTAGAAGTAACTGAGTTGCTGCCAATAGCTATCTCGTTTGGCATGTTTTTAGCTTGAAGAAAAGTAACATCCTTAACCCTCGGGTGGATGGTTCCCCCCCCCCCCCCCCCATCTGAATACTTTTTTTCCCCCCGGGGAACAAAGTTGTTTTTTAATTAAAAATTGAAATTAATTTGGTTGTCACAAAAAGTCTTTTCTTTTTGGATTTTTTTTGTTTAAAAAAAAAAAAAACCCTTTACCCCCGGGGGGGGGGTCCCCCCCCCCCCCCCCAGAGATTTTGAAATGTTGCAGTATTCCGAAACGATTTTAGTAAACGATATACGATTTTACCTTCAACAAGATGAGGTATATTTTATGGGTGGTGGCGCTGCTAGAGGCCTGTGACGTCACCGAAAATGGTCGCCATTTTCGATTTTACCAAGAATTAGAAATTAGGTAAAACCCGCGGGTGAAATGGTGATTTTTTGTGCTTGATATGAAAAATAACACATAAATAAGCACTTTGCATTTAGCCACAAGATTTACTTTATAGTTGAAAGAAGTTGACAAAACATGTATTTTCACTCAAAAATGGCTTGACCACCTGCTACTTATGACGTCACATATCGTAACCGTAGAAACTGACCATCACTGAATCTGACTCAAAATGCGCGCGAGGGACAAAGAAAAAGCTACCGAAAACGTCAGGTGCTGATGTTTTGTCCCCCCATGTACTTCCGAGGGTTAATATACAGCGTTTTTCATAATCATGTATCATTCCTTTCCTATAACTTGTTTACAGGGAGCACTACCAGACAACCTGATCCGACTTCTCCCCCTCAGCCACACCCTGATGGTACGAATGTGTTGCACGTACTTCATATCATTTAACTGTTTTACCCTAATTTAGCAGAAGGGGACACATAGAAAATCAAGTGTATGCTCTATGTTGATTATTCATGACAGATATGTTGATATCTAAAGAACTGATACAACTGGGTACTTCAGTAAAGTACTTTTAGAAGAGCGTTTTCACTCACTTGACACATCTATGCAAATTTATTGGAACAATAGAAAGCGTTTACATAAGGAAAAAATAGGTCATTTCCGAGTTACTTCAAGCCATTGTTTGAAAGCGAGGCTAAGTGAGAAGCCACTGTTTTGGAAACGATCTTTATTATTATGCAAATAAAAGTCATTTTCACAATAAAAGTTGTGCACTTGGCCTCGTTTTGCAAAAGAGTCAGGTTTTTGAACTCGGAAATGGCCTATTAAACTCACGTAGTATTGGTTTGGAACACAAACATGGCCGCGGTTTCATTGTTTTGGAACACCAATATGGCCGCCTTGAGATCATGTGAAAACGCTCTATCGGTAAGGGGTAAAGCCTTTCTTAAATTTCAAAATTCCTGAAACTATAATAGCCCACGATCAATTTTTTGAGATTCTAACACAACTCGGAGATTTTAAGTTCAAAATTGCAAATTTTTCCCGACTCTGTTGTCTCGCAATTTCCAGAAGAGGCTTAAAAGCACAGAGAAAACGTTAACTAATTAAAATTAAATATGTAAATATTGCCAGAAAGCCTCGGAGTCATGTTAGAATTCTAATATATCGAACGTGGGCTATTAATTATAAATGATTACGGAGTGTGAATGACCGATCTCTATCCATGCTCACTCTTAGCAAGCTGGTACGGGGGAATTTTCGTTCGAATTTGCCCCGTGTCCTTAGATCCGATCATTCAACGATGGTTGCAGCACAAACTTAACACATCTGTATAAAGAGTGTGTTTTTCTAAGTCGATCGCAATGACTGAATTCTAGTTTCTAGCTGACGCTATTACGATGAATGTTCCAACTTTTCAGATGTTGCTGCATAACTTAAAAGAGCTAAATGGTGTTCACAATTTTACTACACTAACCTGACAAGGCGGACTAGGAAAATCGGTGATGACTCAGAGAAAACTGTCTTAAGAATTATTGCCTATGCCCTCTGGCTATAAAACACGCAAATATTATTACTGTGCTGTGCTCTAAGAAAAAATTGAAGGGATCCCACAGCTCTGAGCCTATGAAATCTAGGGTTACCAACGTACGATTAAAAACAACAACAACATCAACAACAACCTGAGATTTTTTAGTTGCTTAAAAGAAAAAGTAAGGTTCCATGGGCCTTTGGGCAATGTCAGAGCATAGCCCTCCCTATAATACTGGACCGAGTCAATTAACTTCTATTCCATCCTAACACTCGATTCAGGTCCTGATGACTGCACCTTTGAGACCGTTGACTTATGTGGATTTACTAATGTCGATGGCGATGATTTCGATTGGACGCAAAGAATGGGTAAAACACCGAGCAGCAGAACTGGGCCAGATATGGACCACACAACCAAGCGCTTCGGTGAGTATCAGTACAACTGGGGCGGACAGTGGTACTTTTTATACCTTTCTTGGACCCATCCAGATAAATTGAAAACAAAATGCTGTTTTCTATACACACGAGTTCACCAGATTCATTGAACTTGATATTGAAAACGAACTCCACCTCGGAACGACTTCGACGCGCGTGCACATTACTTGATCCCGCGCTAGGCAGCGCTGCATGTTTATGGCAAATTTGGGGTGTTTTAATGTTGCGAAAACTAAACTTTCCTTGGCGTCTTTTCAAACGTTTTGTACTACGCCATTTAGCGACTGCACCCATCCGAAATACCAACGTTTATGGCCTACTTTGTATACTACATGGTATTAACTCACTTTGACTCTAAAGATGACTACCGCACTGGTTATCAAAACGTCAGTCACTGTCAACAACAGTACTAGTCCTATTCAGGATTACGTTCACCGGGACGATCATGCTCAACCTACTTATGAAATGACTCCTGGGTTCAAACCGTTCACAGAGTATTAAGGAATAAAAATATGTTTTTTAAATCATCCAAGTAACATGTCGAAACATCTGACAATATTGTGACATGTGACTCTTGCTAGGTTATTTTATGTACATCGAAACTTCGAGGCCACGTATTAAGGGTGACACTGCCACACTACAAAGCAAGCTATACCCCAGAACAACGTATGGGCGTTGCCTTCATTTTTATTACCATATGTATGGAGAGGACATGGGTACACTTAAAGTGATTCAGTCATTCCTTGCGGGCGATGTTGACAAGGTCCTTTTTGAGAAAAGCAGTGATCAAGGAGACCAGTGGATTTTGGCCAGAGTTCAGGTTAAAGCTTCAGCGTCGCCATACAGGGTTAGTATATACAGACTCTGGGCATCGAAAGGGGCGAGAGGCAACTGAATATAGCTTACAAAAATAATAAAGCACCGATCTTTTGGGGGATACAGTCGAATCTTCAATAAAAAGTGTCGTCTATATCTACAAGGGGTTCAAATAGTAGGGAGCCGAAATTTAAAATACTATTGTTGAGCAGTAAGATGCTTTTGTGGGAAACGGTGGACTGGCGCACTGTACTCCCGGAGTAGTCAATCGATAAAAATCGGTATCGGATTTGTCAATCGATAGATCGAGAGAAATCGTTAAGTGGTTTGATTGATATCGATTGTATCGATCAATCGGCAGGAATCGATGACACACTCCTTTCGTCTATCGGTTTATCTTGATTTTTTACCTATTTCATCGATTCATATCGGAAGAAACATCTGTCCATCTGTTCATCTAAAAATTAAAACTGAATTCATGCAAACAGTAAATTTGTTGACAATTGTTGTTTATCAAACAATATCACTTATAAAGAAATCTTTAAGAAAGTCTTATCTTTTATTAAAACCAGGTTTAAAATCTTTTTCTTATGGCTAATATTGGCCAGGTTTGTAGGCGCCCAGTTTTTCAGGATTTGGATCTACCACCCTTTCAAAATAACGTCGGTGTAGATCCGGGTGCAGCTACATCCCGGAGGACCCCGAGTTAAGTCAATTGATAAAAATTGAAATCGATAAAAACAATCAGCAAGCAAATGATTTTCATCGATTGATATCGGAAAACGGTGAAAATCTATCGAGGAAAATCTTTTAGCCTGAATCCCGACTCGAAGGAATTTCTGAAATTTAGGCTAGGAAATCTCTATCTAAGGATGTATTTCTAGTGATACTTGCCTGCAAGAACTGAATGTAATTAATCGAACCGTTTTTGTTATTAAGCTAAAATAATGGGTTTAGAGAAAGTTGTGTGTGTAATAGTTTTCACATTTCTTATTTTCATGTTCGCTGATCACTTGTTACTCGTGGATGTGTTATCCTAGCTTTACTATCATGTTAAAAAACAATAATGGCAGACTTAACGTTATCAATCATTAAAACCATCAAAAATCGATAATATCGATTTGACAGAGCAATTCAGTTTATCGATTTTGACCGATTTCCTTTATCAATCGATAAAAATCACTTGATTGCTACCGATTTTTATCGATCGACTACTCAGGGCTGGACTCATAATAGTAATTCATTCAGGACCCAATCAGTAGGAGCCTTCATCTCCCATAAAAGCCTTTAGAGTCAGCCCTCGGTTGTAACGGAAGGAACGGAGGACAAAGGAAGGAACAAAGAAAAAGCTTTCTCACTCGGCCGCCATTTTTTTCTTTTGTGGTTTTGTGCGGACGTCTGCGGAAACAGTATTTTCGCTGGAAAACAGCAGATCTAAAAGTAAATTTTGACGGGAAAGTGTTGAGTCAAGGTTATAGCACATATGGAGGCTCCTACTTATCGACCCTTGTACATTAGGGGCCCATTACTTTGAGCTGAGCATATCGGGCCTATGCAAGACTCTTTGACACACTAGTCTGGTAATAATAACATTTTATAGTACTTCCATCCTGCACAAAACCTCCTCGCCTTAATTAAGTCAGTAGATGATGCAGAGTACAATAGAGAGCTTTAGATTTGTGGACGACAACTGAAATACAAGGAAAAGTGGAAATAACCGCAATTCCTCACATAGTTATGGAAGGTCTTCCCTCTTAAATATTCCTGGTTTATATCACTGTAGAGCCATGTAATATGTTATAATTGTGGAAATTTCTATAGTTACGTTCTAGCATGTTTTTCCAGCTTTTATGTTTTTGTAAATTTGTTCTGTTCTGTTTCTTTTGTTTTTTTAGATCAAATTCGTGGGCATAAGGGGAAGCAGCTTTCGTGGAGATGCAGCAATAGATGATGTGTTCTTCACCGATGGAGTTTGCCCGTCCTAGGTAAGTACAACAGATTATTGCAAGTCATGTCAAAGTTTGATGTCCTTGGTGTTAACTGCAAATAATGCTATAATCGCTCCCAGCCACTGCGGTCAGCGGAATAAAGCTTAGTGCCTCCTCATGATGTAACCTATTACAGATTCTGCCTGTCTGATGGATATTTAAGTATCTGAGATGACTAAAATATTTGCAAGAGATCTCTATGGGCGTATATAAAGGCAGAGGTGGGGTTGTGACGGAAATGCTACCTGTTGATTAGTCATAACTTTAATAAATTATTAATGATTTTACGAAAGAAGTTACAGTGGAACATCGATATAACGAACCTCTATGTAACGAAGTTCTCGGTATAACGAACGGTGCTTTTCTCCCCAGTAATAGTGAAATATGTGAAAAGGAACCTCGAGAAGTAACGAAACCTCCCTTTGGCCGTTCGTTATATGGACTGTAAATCGTTTATTATTTCTATTTTCAACTTAATTATGGCTTATATCTACGCTGTCAACACTGAGCAACTCTACTCATGACAAGGTTTCGCACAGTTGCGATGGGCCAAAATGAAAACGCCAGTGTTTAAAGTGGAACTCGAAACGGGGGGGAGTAAATCGAGCGTGGTGATACGTGCAGTTTGGAAGCAATTCTAAATTTGGGCAACTCTGATATCTGATATCTAAATCTTATTTTTATTTCACAGTTGTTTTTGGTTTTTGGCGTTGTGTGCGGGCAGTGCCATGAACGCAAATATGACAAATAATATTTTTTTTTGGTTCTTAAAATAACCCAGGAACTGAAAGGCCACAGAATATCTTAAAATGACCCGTATATATTTAAGTTGGACCTCCTTCAATCCTAACTGGACTTATAAAGAGGCCATTTTTCGATTGCTTGCTCATGCGTCCCTGCCTCTAAATAGACTCAAAGCTGGAAGGTGACCTTTGTAAAAAAACCTTTTGCTTCTCAATGCAAATCGTGTTATTCTCGTGCTAGCAAGCCTCAGCGAACATTTCTTTTTTAAAACGAAAATCGGGATACATGGTCGTGAAACGTGGTCGGGGCCTGGCCGGCCAGCCACCGGTTAAACCCCATTACAACTAAAATGAATGACAATCGCCATCCATTTTGTTTTATTTTCCTGTCATTTTGCTAATTAATGGCCTCATTCAGGGTAGTTTATTGATTCTGTACTTAATATCTAGCAACTACGCTGTGTAATTCTGATAATTTCCAATTTTGCATCCTTTCAGAATGAAACCAAGCTGTTACCATCAATTTAAAGGCGCTCTCTTTTACGTTGCTGAAAAATTCCTTAAGTTTAACAAAGGAAAACTTTGTCGCCTCCTTCCAGAGTGCTCTATACATTAACGTTTAAAAATAATGAGTAGAAATTCTGATTAAACCAATGAAATGCGTAATTGTGATGACTTGCTTTCTGGTACGAAAAACCCTTTAACTGCTTTGGGGCGCACTCACTGCACTGTAAATCACTCCACAGTCACTATTTCACTTCCGTGATCGCCCCCCCCCCCACCCTTCTCGCAGTCAGTTTCTTTTATCCTCTCCTTGTCCAGTTGAAGTGGAGTTTGATGCGGCAAAACCCATAAGTGATGATTCAAGCTCTGACGCCGAGGACTCGACATTGACATTGAAAAGTAATCAAGGAACCAAATCTGGAACACTGGAAAAGCCCATGTTCAGTTTATTTGATGTGATCATTCTTTTTTTCAATGGGAAAATAAAACAAAACATTTAGGGCACAACTTCTAATGAGCAATGTTTGAAATAATCGCCTCCCTCGAGAAATCGCTTTCCCTCGAATAATACCGTTAAAATAAGCCCCTCCAAATATAAGCCCTCCAATCCGGTAACGCAAAAAACCCTCCATTAATTATATAAATCGCCCCTCCAAATATAAGCCCAAGCCCCTCCCCCAACCCCCCCCCCCCCCCCCCCCCCCCCCCCCCCGAGGGCTTGTACTTGGAAAAGTGCCCTCTGACTGATATAAAGTAAAACAGAGCAAAAACGGTAAATTTACTTGCAACTATAAGGCTAGCCCAATCGATTTTGAAACGCAAATTTCCCACCGTAGATAAGCCCCTCCGAATAAAAGCTCCTCTGAAAAATATAAGCCCCGGGGCTTATTTTCGGAGTTTTACGGTAATCGCCCCCGGCTATTATTCGAGGAAGTCTGGCAAAGCTCAAAATCGACCTCAGTAACGGAAGAGACTGGAACGAGCGCTATGTCTTCCAAAATGGCGGCCGTAACTCGCTCTCTTTACATTTTCATTTTCTTTCTGGTTTTACTCGCGTCAAGTTTAAGCAAACCGTTAAATATAAGTAGAACACTTTCCGTAGGTAAGGAAAATGATACAAAACGCAAGAAACCTTTACTCGAAGATCATATCAAGGGCTTAAAGCTTGAACGCGACGGACATGTCAACAAGGAATATCACCACGAAGCTTTTCTGGGGAAAATGGTAGAAGATGGCATGCTTTTGTTTGACAACGTAGACGGTTCTCGACGGCTTATCGAAATATTTCATAAGGTTGATAAAAATGAAGATCATAAAGTGAGCAAGGAAGAAATGAAAGATTGGATTCATGAAAAAATTAAGGAACACATTCAAGAGGCAAAAGAGAACAATCATCGAATGTTTAAAATTGTTGATCGGAATGGTGATGGCGTTGTGACCTGGGACGAATTTCGACTGAAGTTTAAGGAGGATAATGAAACTAAAAAGAAGGATTCAACTGAATTAGGTAAGTTTGCTTTTAATTTTCTTCGGCGTTGTCGACCTCAGTTATGCAAAACTCTTAGCATACGCAAGTGGAACTAAATATTTTGTGTTCTTGCGTGGTAAACATCCTGCAAAGGAGCTTTTAGTTTAGAAGATAACTTAAATTTCGTGCGAGATTGTGAGAGACTTTCTATTCATTGCATTCGAAAAGTAAATTCAATTAAGACCGTGAGTTGGAATTGCTGTATTGTATTAATTAGTTTTTCGTTAATTCGCGGACAAACGTACAGCTGTACACGTGTACTGTATGCGTCATCGTTATTAAACTTTTGCAGGCGTGCTATAATTTAGGTGGAAAATCACAGTTGTCGCTTGTCAAACCAACGTGATAACTAGTAGCACACCAGCATGGTCTTAATTTGTGATGGTGAAATGTTTTGTAAGGTGTATTTGTTACCATAGACACTTCTCTGTTTGTGTCCCCTCATTATACTCTGTCATCCATTTTCATTACCAACAGATCAGAAGAGAGAAAGAAATTAAAGTCTTTCCAATTCATACTCCCTCTACGTAAAGGAAAACGAAAATATGACCCTGAAGAAAATAATAGCAATTTTATTTACAGAATACCCAGCAAATATTATTAGATGCACCTTATTTCCATTTAGTTATCAATGACAGAACCCTTTGAAGAACTGGGTGTTAAACCAAGTGGTTGCCTCCTGCCAGTTGGGGTTTTAATCCTGTTATGTTGTATTTGAATTATTTGTTTCCAGGTATTTGAGTGGGGTGCCTGAAACTAGCTGGATAAGCTATTGCACTTTCCACTACAGTGAGATACCATTGTTACTTAAAATTGATGAATCTAATTTGCAGAGTATTTTTCAGTCTAGCAACAATAATTATTTACCCTTCCCCCAAACTGCTGTAACCCTTTCTCCCTCCTTTCTGGATGAAATAAAAACAAACAGTCCCTAAAGGGAAGACTATCCAAAGCCCAAAGGGCAAGCTGTAAAACTAACTTTCATTGCACCCTGTTCACTCAGACAAGGAAATGTATGGATTTTGAAATGGAAAATGTGACTACTGTATCTCAACAGAATTTCTATGTGAATAGATTCATTGCTATTTCATAAATTACTTTAGACCGTACAAAAAGTTACTTACTACAGTTTATTTTGACATCTAAATGAATGTCAGTATTAAATTACTTACTTAATAAATTACTTTAGACCATGCAAAAAGTTACTTACTTCTGTTTATTTTGACATCTAAATGAATGTCAGTATATTTTTCACCTTTTTTGTTTGACTCACATTGGAAGTAAAAAAGAATCTTGATGTTTATCCAGGTGGTCTTAAGACGAGCTTAGGAAGCAAACTATTGGAAAACTTGGGTAAACTCCCTTTGGTTGGTTTGTCATTTAACTGTGTAAATGCAGATCAATGATAAATTCAGCATTTTCTCAGGTTTTATGCTCGTGCTATGTCTCTGATTTTGGCCATGATTATGAAGAAGTATTCTTGGGTGGAAGGGAGTGAATGAGGAGGATTCTCCAGAAGGTCTGATGACTGGAGAAAATCTTTGTCTAGTTTTAGAAAATAATAATTTTTCAGTTGCCGTAGCAGATGCTTGGTATTTGTTTCTCAGCACTATTGTTCAATAAAAATAAACAAATGATACAAAATAAGGCTGATATGGGTGAATAAAAGTGTCATCCTCTTGGCTAAAATTTGTTCCCTGCTTGCTCAAAAAGCACTGAAACACAACTTTAGGTTTCCTGATAATTACAATTCCCCAGCGGAGTGAAAGAGTTAAGTTTAACTTGAGGAAAAGCTGACTTGAAAATGACTTGAAGTTCCAGTGTAAACCAAACCAACACTTCTTAAGGGGCTGATTTACTTTAACATTCTTTCACATGATAATTTGGTGTAGGAGTAATGGTTAGTTTGACTTGAAGAAAAGCTGGCTTAAAATAGACTATAGTTTATTTATAATCACATTGCAACCGAGGGGTTGAATTAGGTGATTATTTAAAATAATTATGATAACTTAAAAACACTACCACTAATAAGCTAATTTATGAGAGCGGGGAGAAGGCCGTGGAGCTTATTCTCTTTTTTCTGTACAACTTCCTTAAATAGTTTGTCTACAAGTTCCTGGCGGAGGTCTGGAAGTTTAATTAGGCTTAATTCAACCAAAGACTCTTTGTATGAGGAGAAAGTGAAAACAATGTGCATAGCTGGCTTTTTACTCCGTCAAAATCATTGGAGAGATACTTGTGAAGACTGTCGTGAAAGACAGGACATGCATACTCCGAGATAGGGCGAATGCAGAAAAACTGAACTAGCTCTCGGGTACCTAGGCCAGAGTTTTAAGCTGAGGTAAACAGTTACTATAGGCACTTCTTAGCTTTCTTCATAATGGAGTCAATGTGACAGTTCCATTTCAAATCCCTAGAGACATTGAGGCCTGGTATTTTGGCAGTGGCAACTAATTCAATAGGCATGTCGTTAACCATAATGTGGTCAAATGACGTGGTTTTCTTAGTGCTAAAGTTTATGTGAGGCTCCTTGCATTTTGTCTTGTTTAGTTGAAACTTGTCTCCGAAAGCGCCGTTGACCAGGGTGTCAACGGCGGCCTGGATGTGACTTTCTTGGTTCTTGCTTATTGTCTCCAAGATGGTGTTATCGTTGAGGTATTCCCAGAGATTCATGGCAGGAGCATCAAGCTTGTTGATAATGATGATGAACAGCCATAGCCCCAATTTTGTGCCTTGGAGAACCCCTATCGGGATAACACCCCATTCTGAGAAGCAGTCAGGGCCAAGCTTAACTGGCTGTTTGTATGAAGTGAGAAAACCGATGATCAAAGAGACAACAGGGTCAGGGATGTCATATGAGCACAGCTTCCTGACAAAAATATTCTTTCACATTGTGTGATTTAGGAGTGAAATGGTTAAGTCTGAGTTGAAGAAAGTTGGGTTACGAATGACTTGAAGTTCCAGTGTGAAGAAAACCGACATGCCTCAAAAAGGGCAGATTTTTTTTTAACAGTCATTGCAATTCTTTCTTTAGTGTGAATAAAACCAATATTCCTGGAGGGGCTGGTTTCTTTTAGCCTGCAGGAGCATTCTCCTGTGGGGTTGTAGGTTTCTTTATACAGTACAATTCTCTCGCATCATAATGTGGTGTAGGAGTGAAAGAGTTAAGTCTGACTTAAAAGAGAGCTAGCTTAAGAATGACTTGAAGTTCTAGTGTGAACAAAACAGGGTGCAAAGAAAATCATTTTTACAGCTTGCCATTCAGGCAAGATGAAGATGAAGCTAACATTTACTAGCCCAGCCATCATTTCAACTAGCCCCAAAACCTTTCTGGTGGGCGGAATTGATTTCACAGTTCTTCTTTTATTTGAATTCCTCAAAAAACATCACTTGCCCGTTGGGCAAGTTGAAAACAGAATTCACTAACCCGATAGCAAAATTAAGCCTTAAGCCCTGGGGATATCGGACACAGGCTACTTTCTTTGCATGCTACAAAACCATTTTACATTCTCTCCTGTAGATGATGCTGGTAATCCGGAGGAAGTGATGTCAGAATATTATGCTAAGTTCCGCAGAGGAGACATGAACCTGGATGACAAGCTGGATGAGTCAGAGTTCCTGTATTTTGAGCACCCTGAGCACAATCCTCAGAGCACCAAGGATTTAGTTGAAGATATGATTGAAAATTTTGATCGAAATCAGGATAAGGTGAATTGTCAACAACATGGCCTGATTCTGGATTGATCTGATTCCACTTTCCATAAGAGTCCTTGGATTGTGTGAGAATCAAGCCAGTGACAACAATGATAAATATCAATTTTAAACAATAATTGGATGAGGTTTTTTGTGATATTCCAAATAACCAAGTTCGTGGTAAGTGTTATTAGCCTTGGCTGATAACACTTGCTGAGACCATGAGTTTTCCGGATATTACAAAAACTGATTTTCCATTGGTTTGAAGAAAATGATGACAAACACAATCTCACACAGAATACAGTTTGACATTTCTCTTGGAAGTCATGCATTACATTGTATGCAGACAACCTACAGATTAGTCAGTTATCTGCTAGCAAATACCTAACTAATCTTTATGTTGCATTGATTTCCAAAATAAACTGTGAAGGTTCTTAGCCAACGAGAAGGCAGATAATGAATATTGTGTATAAATTCTAGATGCAATTATGGTACTAAAGACATGGGTGATTAATTTTCGCGATCCCAACTTAGTCACTTATTGACCCATGTTTTTAGATTGAATGAAGGACACTTCACTTTTCATCTACAGTACAAACATTCTGGTACGTTTGCTAACTATAAATGTGAAGAACTGTCTTACCCCAAAAAATCCGAAAATGTACAACCCCATTCAAGTAACTCTATTGAAAATGCAACTCCAATATAGTCAATCCAGTCATGAAAATGTGACCCCATCTAGTGGCACATCCCCATTAGCCTCTTCCCACTTGCTACTGGTAGACAATAGTTTCTTGTAAAATGACTGTGAGGGTTATATATTTGCCCAAAAGTGACTAAGATGCGGTCCATAATTGGCCACAGAATAGACTATAATGGGCTCTAGGGGCTCTTAGAGGCCAGCGGCACATACCCAGCGAAAATTAACCCAAGTACCCCTCCCCCCGGGATTACAGGCAGGACTGGCCCTTGTAGAATGCTCAAAGACAACCCCTGAGTCGTGTTAAAAAACCACTAACCAGTAGTGTTTTGTAAATAGTATTGGTTTGATAAAACCTTGGTAAAGTACATTAAGTCATATTAAAAGAGACTTTGTTTATAATGTTTTATAATTGATAAAAATAATCTGTCTGTTTATAATATTTTTAAAATAAGTGCTGCTTTTCTCTGAAGGTGCTTACAAAGAGTGAGTTCATTCGGCTGCCCCCTGGCGAAGTGGACACTCAGGAAGAAGCCAATATGGATAATGAATACGTCAAAGAGTGAGTGCATTTACAATAAAATACAGCTCAATTAAGCGGCCTCCCTCCACTAAGTGGCCAGTAATTAAAGTGCTGAAATAAATGTAGAAATAATTTTAAATGAAACCCTCTGATGTGGCCACCTTATGGCCATCCCCACAAGAGTTCTGCCACTGTTGTCAGCTGTATTATTAAAATGGCCATCATGCGCTTGATACATGTACACTTAGTTGAGCATTTTTTTTTTTGTAAATATACTAAAGCAAACTTTTTAGCATACTTTTCATGTACTGCTTTTTATTCAGTATGTATTGTACTCCAGCTTTCTCGGAGTTGGACTTTCCTGTCAGCACTTCATTATGCAACACTTATTACTTACTTCTTACTTCTTACGCCCAATAAATTTCAGTGAGAAAACATATAGGAAAATCGTGCAAATTCCTCTTAAAGGCAGTTTAAAGAAAATGATAATTTTATTGCCGACAAACGGTATATGTTGTCATTTTTGGCCTGGGTTGCTCAACGATTTTCTGGCACTGTTACATATTTCAAGATGTTAAATTATTGCTCATTGCACTAAATTATTGTAGACAGGAAAAAAAAAAGTCTCACTTAAATTTAGATTTGGAATCATTTTTCCTTTGTATAGAGTTTTTGTTGTGTAACCTTTATTTATAACATAGCAGAGGTGAGGTGTATCTTCTGATTGGTCAATGCATCATTTTTTATTAGACTTCAGTCTTCGTTAAGGTTTTTATTGATAGCAACTGTACAGAGATCATTCAGGATATCATGAAAGCTCTTCCATTCTACATTAAGGAGGAAACTACTATTTAGGAAAACTTTTGCTTGTTATAGATATCAACGAACTTATATCGCGCTCGCCTATATCTTGAGCTACTCTTGTGTTCTTTTTTGTGCTTAACCGCGTCCTGCATGCATCCATAACTCGATGGCTGCACGCTGGGCGTTTACCATTTCTTTCTTTTTTGCTGTATTATTTTTAACTTTCTTTTTCGCTTTCATGTACGACCCGCAAATGGTAATGTTGGTGTTTTTCAAATTTCACTGCATCGGGGAAAGATGAATGACAAACGGTGAATGATAAATAATTAAGGATGCAGTCTATACTTATAACAGGATACCCAGCTTGATTCGTTGTTATAATCCTGTTTCCTTTACAATAAAGCTAACATTTCTTCTCTTAAGGTTAAATTAAAGCTGTAAGAAAAAAAAACAAGAAAAAAAAAAACAAAACAAAACAAAACAACAACAACAACAACAATAACAATACTGCAAGCTGCTAAATAATTTGTCATCATCATCATCATCATCCTCATCATTATCATCATCGCCGCCACCACCACCACAACCATCATCATAATCGTCATCATCGTCACCATCAAAATAGGTAGATAAATGAATAAATTTATAAATTTATATTATCTGCGCCTTTCAAGTTAACTTTCCAGTACACAGTCTATTTATAATCTTTTTTCGCCTGTCTTGTTTCAGTTTTTTGATTGTAAAAGGATAGGTGAAGGTTTTTGTCTCCTCTTCTTAACAGTTTCCAGAACGCACTTCGAAATTCCTGCCCTCTCAAGGCGTACACCCACGGATTAACCGCGGAGTTGGAAAATGTAACAAGCGCGGTCCAAAACCACCGCTGTTTAAGCTTTATTTTTAAACATTCATCTGCAAAAAATGTCTGAATAGAAGATAATACGAAAGAAGGTGACCATAAAGTTATGAATAGGCCAATGATGATGGCGATGGTTAGTGCTATTTTTCTCTCCTTGATGCTGTTTATCGCTGCCTTTCTGCCCGACTCGCTGCTGACGCTAACCACTTGAATTTTCTTAGCTTGAGATCGCGCTACCTTAAAAATGTGAACGTAGCAGTAAGCAATGACACATAAAGGAATGAAAAAGGTGATTGTACACCCCACAATCCAAAACTTTTGTAGGTCCAACGGATCTTGTATCAAGACGCGAGGAAGAAGAGCCAAACACGCGGCCAGCCATATCGAACATATTATGATCCTACATCGGCTTTCGCTGAGCGATGTGTCATAGCGAAACACCTTTACTACCGCTAAATATCGATCGATCGAGACAGCGCAAAGGTTCAGTGATGTGGCGACGACAGTGTGGGCGGCTAAGCACTCTGATGCCATTGTGAGTGGTTCTTTGTCCTCCCAAATGTTCATTGCGCTCCTAGTTGCCCATATTGGGTTAAGTACCACGCCGACAATGAAATCTGCCACAGCCAAAGAAGCTATGAAGTAGTTAGAAATTGTATGAAGACGCGGCTGTTTGTAAATTGTCAGTAAAACCAATAGGTTTCCACCTATGGAAGCCATACCTGACAAACCGTTTAAAACTGTAAGTGCAGTCGAAGATGGCTTGTTTAGAGCGCCCTCGCACATGGCCTGCTCTTCAGGTCCAGTTCCGTTCATTTTTCGAAATTTTATGGGACGTCCTTTTTGTGCTTCTTTTACTTTTTCGGGAAGGTTTCATCCACTTTCCACTGTTTTTGTTAAAACATTCCGCTGAAGTGCAAACCGCTTGTTTACACTCCTCTTCATGGCAGGTGAAGTTGCCTACCTTAGTTTCACGTGTAGAAAATGAAGTATTCGATTTTGTTTGTTGTAATCACGTTTATTGAAAGAGGACTAAGAAAAAGCAGTGGTTTGCTTCCTATTCACCTTGTTATAAAGTTTATGAAAGCGTCTTGAATCTTTTATTGTTTTAATCAAGTACAATAATAATGAGTCTTTTCATTGATATTATGAACAAGATTTCATCACTAATATTACTTTCCAAACTTCTGTTACTAAACAGCTTTAGTTCAACCCCTCTTTAGAATGTCATGGCGCTCAATATCTTTACCAAAAATTAAGGAAAGGATCTTAATCTTCAATACATTACTTTCGATTTACCACGTTCAATATTCACACACATACAGCTGACAATGAGGATTCCCTAATGTATCATCCAGTCCCCCGCCTGGGTTGAATAGCCTGAGTCTCATGTAAGGGCTGTCGATAGTTTCATTTCGATAGTTAATTGAGAATTCCGCGCTTGAATTTCAACTTAGAACCACATTGAAGAACAGTGCAGCTGTGGGAGATTTTAGACACAGATATAAAGGTTATTTCATACTATTGTGAAGAACGCGTCTTTTCGATATTAAGTAGGAAATGTGTGAAAGCTCGTCATACACGTGCAGCAAATTTTTCGCTCAGAAAAAGGCAATTTCCAACTGAGTGGTATTATTTATTGCTCTATTCAAAACTGTATTAATGTTCCTTGTCCCATGCAGTGCTAGGAACCGGAAATTTACTTTGGCCTGGGTTTCGTTATTGCTTTTGAGTTCAGTATGTTTTGTTGAAGGTTATAGAAATCTTTTTTTTCGCATTAAGTACATTGACGGTAGGGATTTTCATTAATTAAGATTTGATGCTATTCACAACAGAAAAAAAAATTACATTAATATTTTAGGTCTTAGATGAATACTTTGTTCTTAGCTCTGTATTTAATATTTAATGTTATGTATATAATTCATTTGATGTATTTAGTTCAGTAGTGTACACTACCCCACGTGCTATTTACTCATATCGCGCCAAAATAAAGGTTTCATGCCAGTATGTGATCTTATTCCCCCGCACTGCTGCTGAATGAACTTGCTACACCGCTGTGAATTTTTTGATTTGAAGATTATCTTTTTTAAACTAGTACGATCGAATTAACAGATTTAAAGATTATCTACTCCCCGGTTTGTACTGATGAAAGTTATTTGCGGGGTTTTCTTTTGTTTGAGTTTATTTTCGTAGCTGAAAGATAATGTTTAAAATTTCAAATCTAATTGCTATCTGCTCTTTTATGATTTAATAATATTTTTTTGTCTCGTTTGTTGTTGTTGTTGTTTTTACCTATTTATACGGCGTAACAAACTGTTTACTTGAATTCTTCTCGTAAAGGATGCACCCTTGGAATTAAGTTTAGGGGCAAAATGCAACGCGCGTCTCATTAAAAAAAAAAAAAACCGTTAAAAAGTTATATACAATCCTGTGGAGGTAAGAAATTCTGGCCCAAAAAAGTGTCAGGTTTGATGGGGGAAGGGGGGGGGGGGAAAACACACCCCCCCGGCCCCTTCTTTTTAATCCGCAAATTTTAAAATAAAAAAAAAAAAGAGTATTTGTATTGGATGTGTAGTGGAGTGTGAGAAAACGATGTAAGAATTTCTGTCTCAAACAAGTGTCAGGTTTGATGGGGGAAGGGGGGGGGGGAAATCCGACCCCTCCGGACCCTTCTCCTGAATCCGCCACTGTTAAACTGAATGAACGAATTGGTATTTCTGTTGGTCATTTAGTTGAGAATGATCAAAATGCTATTGAACGTCGGTCAACGACTTGAGGTTGTGCACGATCAAGTCCGTAACAGCTATTCACAAAAAAACTTACAAAACAGACGTTTCACAAACCGGCTTTATAAGACTTATAACCATTGATTGCACTTTTTAACTTTGTGTAGATATATTTTTACTTTGAGTATATTTGCATCTTAACTATATATGAGGATGATTTCAAGAACTTTTCTCTTGACCTATAAACAGAATCAGAATCTGCAAAGTTGCAATTAACAGTAAGGTAAACTCGCAGAAGAATTAATATTAAGAAAAGGTGTCTTCTCACAGAAAGGTTTAAAGAAATTCGATATCCTAAACGTTGATCTAAAAAAGAATAATAATAATAATAAATATGAAAAAAAATAATACAATAAATAGTAAAAATAAATAATAATAATCACGATCATAATCGTAATCAAGTTATAGACGATTATTTAATTGACTAGCCTGCGAACGACAACCGTTTCTACTCGCTGCTTGGCGCGTGAAGATGCTTCCCAAGCGGCAAGGAGCGAGGAGAAAGAGCTGTATTCGCAGGTTAAAAATTGACATGGATACACATTTTCCTATACTTATTTTAAATTCGTATAATAAACTATATCAGACGTAACTAACGACCACTTTATTTCTCGCATCCTTTACTCTTCTTACTTTTAATAAAATAACTGAGATAGTACGTGCGTTATTGGTTAAAAATCTATGGTTAAAGTTATTTTATACAAGCAATAGACCACACTTTCTATGGGTTTACCGGCGTGATAACCCACTTGGGATGTTAGGAGAACACTAAAAAAGTCTCGTAAATCACTTCCAACATCCCACATCCCGCGTGGGTTATCACGCCGGTAAACCCCATAGAAAGTGTGGTCTCGCTTAAATAACCTGTACATTTATTTTCCTAGACGCGAGGAGGAATTCGCTGCAATGGACGAGAACGGAGATGGAATAGTGAATTCAGAGGAGTTAACTAAATACTTGGCTCCAACCCACGAGCAGCGCGCGATCAACGAGGCAAATTACCTGGTACGAGTGGCTGACAGAGATTATGACGGGTTTCTATCAGAGCAGGAAATGATTATGAACTATCAGCTTTTCACTGGAAGCAGTATGGCCAACTATGCGGGATATCTGCATGACGAATTTTAGAACATGAACTTCTTTTTTCCATTGTAGATAGACTAATACCTTATTTGTTCGAATAAGCGCCCGAGCGCTTATTTCAAAAGGGTGGAATGGGCATTGAATAGCTCATTACGTTTCCATTTCTGTATACTAGAACTGTATTGTAGCATTGACCTTTTCTGAGTAATCGTCTAAAATTCAGGCTACTTTTGAAACACACGTGGATAGAGTTGCCTAGAACCGGTTATATTATCAGAGTCTGCCAAGTCAAAGTATTAAGATATGCAGTTGATAGCCTGCCAGTAAGCTCTCCAGTTCGAGTGGCGAGCGAAGCGAGCCGCGATTTTCTTTCGCGTGCGGCTCTTGGGTGACTTCTCAGGACTCCTCCAAAAAGAGAAGAGCTCGCTCACAGGCTAAGCAGTTGACAAAGGACTGAACTTTCCTTCTGATCTCTCCATCAAGAAAGTGATCGGGGAGGGAGAGGGTAAATCGCTAGTCTGGCCTCGGGGACCGCTTTTTCTAAGGTTTTATATAGTGTAACTCGAAGCTGCCAAAATAAAACAGTAAGTAATGACAATCTAAGAATTGAAACTGACAGATACAATCTTCCTAAAATTCCTGAGCCTCTTAGGATATGTCAGCTTTGCTTGTCGAATAAAGTAGAGAATGAAATTCATTTTCTATTCAAATGCAATTTAAATAAAATTTAAGACAACACTTTTTTCAAGCCGTAGAAACCATATACTCCAAATTCGTAGACTTAATATAATAAACAAATAGGAAAAAGTTATATTTCTTTTAACAATATCGATCTATATATGTTTGTAAAAAACTTGGCTACTGTGTCTATGAAGCATTTCAACTTAAAGAATTTTATTCCATGAAACAAAAACATGGGAAATACAGATTTCTAATTATAACTTTTAATTATATACTATCTGTTTATTTGATTTTTAATTTTTATAGTTAAATAGTTTAAAAGCAATACCATTTCTGTATATGGGAATGCTAATAAAAATGTTATGATATGTGTTGGAATGCAAGCATCGCTCGTCAACAACTATGGAGGTCGTGAGGATGGCCCGAGTAACTAGTAAGGCGATGGAAGTCCCTGTGTTCCCTACTTGTATAATTTTTATTCTGGCATAGGTCACTGTCTTCTCGAGCTATCCGGCGTTTGATTAACAGAGTTCAGATGGGGTCCTGATCAGAATCTTCACATGCCAAAGGTCAAGTGTTCAATTAAATAGTATAAGTTCACAAAGGGTGCATTCCTTTCAGATGATCCGGATCACGATCAGTGATTCGAAATCACTCGGATCATTGTAGATCAAATAAACCAATGAATCCACTCTGGACAAGGATTCGTCGATTCATTTGATCTACCATGATCCGAGTGATCTTGGATCACTGATCCTGATCCAGATCATCTCAAAGGAACACACCCAAATAAAAGAGTTATTAACAGTTGTTTTGTGTTTAATTTTTTGAACTTTAATATTAGAAGGTTGATCCCAACAAGTATGTTGAGATGAAAGCTGTTATTATAAATAAAACTATTTCTTCTTCTTTCCTCCTTCCCTTTTTGTGTCGCTCTTTTCTGGTCGTGGTTTCTGCCAGTCAAGTGGATTCTTTCTGTACATGGGCCATGGTGGTAGTACGATCTGGTTCCAAAACAAATCATATTTCATAGTTTAACATAAATGCATCCTGCATGTACCATAAGTTTGATTCAGCTACCGGTATGTCACTAAAGTCAATCTGCACACTTAGAGCTTGTACATCATGTATTTTTTTTATTTATTTCAAAACAGTAAGTACTTCTGGTAGGTACAGGAAGAGTGATCCAAAGGGAGTAGCCTGCGAAAACATCCGTTTCTCCTCGCTCTTCACCGCTGGGGGCGTTTCGTGAGAAACGTCCCCAGCAACAAAGGGAGAGGCCAACATGAGCGAAGGCCCCGACCCCAAAGGTCTTGCACTTAGAACATTTTAATTAATAATTGGGTACTGCCATTTTGATCTTACATTTAAGCAGCACTCTCCTTGAATGACTTGAATCTTAGAAGCTTCTTCAGGTAGGCAGGGGCCCAACGACATAATTAGACATAACTATTTTACATTATGAATTCATGTTTTGTGCTTAAGGCCAGGGATGGGGGAAGGCATTGTACATGTAAAACTAAAGGTTGACACCTTCAGGAGGAAACACAGTACTTACCAAACAACTGACTATGAATCCAGCAGCAAGAATAATAACAGTTGCACCAAACTGTTGGATATAATATCCCCACAGAAACCCAACAACCTGAAAGCAATGAACATGCATGTGTGGTATAATAATAGATGCCTACTCTAATATAAATGCCACTTATCTAATAAACAGCCCCTCTACGATGTTAAGTTTGTATTACATGGGTCTCTCTAAAAACACCCTCTGCCTTATAGACAATGGCGAAAAAATTTATCCAAAATACTAGGAACTGGAAAAAAAAAGAACCAAATCATTCAGTTTTAATTATTAAAAAGTTTCTTGCTGTGCATTGTGCCCCATTCAATGTCAAGTTCACAGTAAGGCTAGATTAACAATCACAACACAATAATCCTGACCAAGGATTCTGAATTTCTGACACTTATTTTGAGATTTGAAAGATTGATATGGATCTCTAGCTGCCCACCTACCCCTTCCCTAAGCCAACATCTTTATCACTTTCTCCTCACTTAGGGCAAAATGTTGGCTTTGGGGAGGGGTAGGTAGGCAGCTTCCCAGAACCCTAAATAGGCCACTTCAAGTTCCAAAAACCCTCACTTTCAAAATGAGGCTAGGTGCACAACCTTTCTTGTGAAAATGAGTGTGATTTGCATGAGAATGAAAATTTTTTCCATATCAAAGGCTGAGCACTTGACCTTGATTTGATACAGAGGCCTGGGGGAACTCAGAAATGGCCTATTGATCAGACATACATTGTATTAATGGGTAGACTGAATATTCTCTTATTCTTCTAAACTCTCTTTACAATATTTTCATTGAAAGAGTATTATTTTTGTTGAGCTTATCATAGTTATGAGAATGCCCCTCTCTTTTGATTGCCTCCTATCTATTGCAGTACTGTTCAAAAGTAAGTTGACAGTCTGTTGCGAGTCTCGATTCTTGACTCGATTCGCGATTCTCGATTCCTGCGTGAATCAAGAACAAGCTATCAAGAATTGTGTCGAGAATTGAGTCTCGCAGGACAGAAAACAAAAGATTCACTCATGACTGATTTCTCGATAATTTTTCAAAAGATACATGTACAGCTGTAACACAATGCAGCATGGTTTAATATTCGCGCAAGGGACTGTATGCTCGAAACAAGATCAATTCAAGTTATAAAGCGAATGTTTCTTCAAGGACATGTATCATGGTTCATTTCATGCCCCGAAACCCTTAAAGTAAATTATTATTCATTCAAAATATTTTCCCGATTCTGATTGGCTAAAAACACACGTTTAATTCACCATAACCAGTTACTGATGACCAAATTTGGAAGAAGTTTGTGTTTAACAAGGAAATGACGTCAAAAATGTAGCGTTTTAGCAGGTTAAGGCACTGTTAACCGAGAAGACCTTGGGACGAGGTTGAGTTGTTTTGCTTGTGAACTTGAAAAATGGTGGACATTTCACTTGTTTCAAGAGTAAGAACTAGGCAAAAAAATAGCTAAAAACGTGGCAAGAACAGCAAGAAGACAACTCAAAGGGCGACATCTGCTATTTGGAGAATATTTGTGGAGCTGGACAAACCTAAACGTGCACTATCGAAGATGAACTTAATGTTGATGGATCGATGGAGGTAAGCACATTTTAGCCATTGTTTTTAAACTAGGAATTATTTTGAATGAATAATAAAACAATTATTGAATTCGGCTTTCGTATCATATGACGAATTATGGAGATCTCGGAGGGTGTTATCCGCCGATAATACCCTCCTCATTCTCCATAATAATATTCTTCATAAGATATTCAGCCTCATTCATTAATTGTTAAGTAAGCAAGAATGAATTAAATGTTTACCCCAAAAAATAATATGATAATGTGGAAGAGTCTTTCTGCTAATTTCTGTCCTTCATAGTCCTAAAACATAGGAATAAAATGATATTAATCATATTGTTTTGCACAAATTGTTTGCTTTTCTACAATACAATTATAACAATGCCTAAATGTCAACAGTTAGTAACATACGTACACTGTACATGTACTAAAAAAGGACCAGTCCAGATCAATGTCAGTTCACAACTCACCCAGGGACTGGGAGCCTTGTAAAAACCAGGAGACCTTAAACGAATTGTAGGAACTCCAAGTGCTGGCCTGTAAGAGCCTCCTTCAAATAAGTGCACTACATGTACATACATGTACTCAAATAAGCACCCCTTTCTCATCAATAATCCATTTTATACAATGTACAGCCGTACATGTAGTTACGGATTGAGATGAGGCTGGAGTTGACCTTACTTTGGTACAACCCTTCCTGCTTCATTATGTATATCATGTTGTTCTTATGCTAACTAGTAGTTTTAAGCTTAATTTCCATCAGAAAATGACAAAGGTTTGTATCACGTTTGGTTAAGCACTTGGATGCCAAGCCTATTGAGTAAGGATACCCAATGCAACAGGGTTGTGATTTCAGAATGTAAGATGTAGAATAGAATATCCACTTCCAATAACTTCTTAAAATAGGGTATAGATGTAGTATTTCAAAGGCAGGAAAGGTTGACAGTTTGGAGTGTGCAATCTCTAGGACTGGGTCAATGCCAGATTGGTGTCAACAAAGGGTGCCAAATTCAGGGCTTGAAGTAACCTCAAGCAAAAATATAGGGCTTAATATAGGGGTAATTTTGTTAAAAATATACATGTACAGCTGTATAGAGAAAATGGTAAAATAATAGGGGAAATAATTTTATAGTGACTTTTCAAACCACATAATTATATTATATCCAGTGCCACTTTCACAACTCTGCAGAGGGTAAGGAACAACAAATTTTAGTCCAACATTGTGAACACTTACACAGAATTTTTCTGAACAAAATCTCTAACTTTGAGCAAACAAAAAAAATTGTACCTCAGGGATTCATACACACACACTGACCCTAAAGAAGTATTAGTGAAAATACTGTTATTGTGTTTTGCAACTATTAGAACGTTTTCTACACGCAACAGTGAAATTGGTGGGCCTACACAACTTTAACCTTCTGTTCTTAATTTTTAAATGTAGAGTTGTTTTGTCCGTGAATGCAATGACTCCCTAACATGTTTTGCTGCGCCGGGTCCAGAGATTAAGAGATGCTTGCAGGATGTACTCGAATTCTCATGAAGAGTGATCTACAGATCCGCATTTAAAAGAACAAATCATAGCCTAAACTCGAAGCTACACCAACTAACTAATTATGGAGAATTGCAATTAACTACTGATACCCTCCAATTCTGTGTAGATAATGCGAGTCTTTGGAGTGGAGTACAATGGTTTTATAAGTAATTCCTTTTTTGGTTATTACTTTTGAATTTTATAGCTTCACAGCTGGTGACTGTTTGGTTAATCATAAATGCCACTTTCTGATCAGGCAAGACCATGGTTTATATGAACCTTGTCAGTGTAGCATTGGCTTTGCATTCAGTTACAATAACTATTAAAGGAACAACAGGGCTGTGCTCTAGCATAGCCCGGTGGCCCCTGGTGCCTAACGTTTGCTCTCGGGCGACTAGCAAATCTTACTTTTTTCATACAAATCATAAGCTGGGCACCCTAGATTTTACAGTTTCAGAGCACTGGGCTCCCTTCAATTTTCCTTAGAGAACAGCCTTGAACAACATTAGTCTGATGGTGAAAATGGAACAGTCATTCTGTCAGACTGAGCTTTAACCTTGCATATTATCAGAGATACCCCATTGCAGATTGGAAATTATTATTTTCCTACTGGCTACTTAAAAAGCAACCAATTACTGAGTGTGGATTTCAACCCTCTTCTGTTTCCAAAATGAGTGTGGACAAAGTTGCCGCATACTCCTTCTAAACTTTGGAAAATATCTGGATAAAGATCATTATTATTACCAGTTTGGTTGTGGATGGTCCGAAACATTCTCTGTCTTTGTCACATACTTTGAGCAGATTTCCTGTGGGTGTGGAACACCAGGGCTGGTGCCAACCGGCATGACGCCATCCTGTTACAATTCATGACTATTGTTTCTTGAGGGCCAGCATACTCGTATGAGATCTTCTCTAGTATTTTTGTAGATTCCTTTTTTTACAGTTTAAATTTCGGATATTTTAGATTTTTTTAAATTTATTTTAGATTTAGATACGATTTGTATTATATACATCTCCATATTATATTGTAGTTTTCTGGGGAGCATCGCACTTACAGTGCCTAGTGCACTTTTGGATGCTTCCCTCTCCTCCTACACTAATTTTTTCAGTGTATATGCTTATACTTTTGCTTACTACATTGGAGAAAACTGTAATAACATTGTAAAATTGTAATAAATTGTAAATTGGGTCTTAAAAATACAGTGTAGACACATTAAAGCGCATGCATGCATGATGAATAAACCAGGCTTCGTGCAATTGCTTGATCATAATAGGGTCTCAGCTCAGAAGCACCCTACGTAATAGGGTGACTACACCGTGCTTCCAACATTTCGCCTTAAAAGCTGAAGTCCTCAGCTAGCAGACCTATGAACATGAACATGCTTATGTTTTAAGACAAGGTGATCTTTGGTGATCGTGGTACTACTATTTATAAAATAATTACGCTAAAGTAGAAAGTAATCTTACCATGTGAACTGGAATGCTTTTGATCCAATTTTTAAGGTTCATTATTTCATCTACACTGCCACAAAACTGTTCAAAGTAGGGTACAAAACATAGATCCTATGAAAACCATACACGTCGTTTGAGACTGTTTGAAAGAAGATGAAAAGTCGGTACAATTGGTCAGCGAAAGCATCATGATCATGCGTGAAAGCAAATAATAACAAAAGCGTGGCTACCAAGTTTATTATGGCGGGTTTCTTCGAATTTTCCTTCTTATATATATGTTTTCGCTTTGTTTTTGTGAGAGTATCATGTCGTGATTTGTTAATTGTCCCGGCAGAGTTACCTTAGCCCAAGATGAACTTTTCAGAACTCTTCAAACAGACCAACCAACTGAGCAAGTTTTCTCCAAATGGAAAGTACATGGTAATATTATGATCGTTGGTGATTGCTGTGTGCACGTAGCTCGCACGAAGTCATGTACGTTTCGATACAAGTTAATGTTCAGTCAACGTGTAAATAGTTTTGCGTACTTGGCTTAAAGAACGAAAAATAATCACTCCATATGTTTTTGTCGTTCAGGCGCAGATTATACGTAAAATGGTCGAAATTTTTGAGTAACTTCGGTGCTTGAGGTCGTATCAAAAAAGTGCTTGAGGTCGCGTCAAAACGACTTGTAGCGACATGACTTTGTATCGAAACGTCTGTTTTCCGGTTACACAGTACAAATGAATCTTTTTGTCCAAGTATGACTTCTCGTCATATGGTGTTATTTTACCTTCAAGGGTAACTGCGTTCAGTATCGATTGCTTGTTCGAGATGTAAAAACCCTTCAGATTCTACAACTCTACACCTGTTTGGACGTTGTACAGTGCATAGAGGTAGGCATTAATGGACTGTATGTCCAAATTAGCTATTTGGGGTTAAATGTTAGGTAATAAAATACCTTTTTGTACTCCCAAACAACACGAGACGCAGATCAATATTTTGTGCGAGAAATGTGCTATGAATGATCTTCAAGACCCTATTTTACAGTTTCAGGTGGAAACTAGGCTGGAGTTGACCTTGTTTCGAAACATCCATTCCTGCTTTATTGTGTAAATCATGTTGTTCTTATCCTAACTAGTATTTTTTAAGCATAACTTCCTTTAGAAATTAAGGAAAGAGGTTTGTATCAAAACAAGCTCAACCTTGGGCACACATTCACTCAAAGGCAAGGGCACAAAGCCGACAACCAAAAAATGGCCTACTTGAAGCTCAAGCACTTGTACAAAAGAGGAGATACATTTATACCTGGGATATATATATCGTGGCTCAATTTAATCCTTGGTTCAAAGCTTCTTTCTCTCTTTTTCTTTTCTATGTTTGTCTCTTTTTCTTTTTTCAAACTCATCACTGTGACATTATCATACATTGCCATATCCTAAAATATAACAAAATAAACTTTAATCCAAAGATGATTTTGGACCACAAGATATATGTACATTGAGGATGAATGAAGTAGAGAGACTGATGATGAGCGTTTCTGAAGTGATGGTGTAGAATTTCAATACTTCTGAAGATTATTGCACACGTTGAACACATACCTTTCCAAGGGATTTTATTTATGGAAGTGCATTTCCTCACCATTTTGTTGAAGAATTCCTTTTTTAACAAAATGTAAATTAGCACTTGAAGTGAGTGCTTAGGGTCTTAGTGGGTATTACAGCGTGTAAATACAATGGCCCAATTTCTTTACCGCATCTTAGCCTGCAAATTATTTTATTTCCGCTTGCCGCAACTCTCCTTGAAGAGAGGCTATTGCTAGAAAAAAAAAATTATGTCTGCATTTTCTTGCTACGTGTAGCTCCTGATTTTTATTCACAGCAAAGCAGAGAACAATATTTAGATAAATTTATTGACTCATAAGTGCACATACATGTAAGTGTACATACACAAGAAATCAAAGAGCAGAAGAGCAGTCTGCAGGCCCTAGAAGTTGAGTTCTGTATTAACAATGCCAATATCTACCCAATTAAACTCATCAAAAAGATGAGCTTGGAAGGAGGTGCCTTAAAGGTGAAAATATAGCTTATAGCAAAGAAGGGGAGCATTGCCTTGGAGGTAAGCATGGGAACCAAGCGAGCGCCAACCACCCAGCACCGTCATACTGAAAGAGTTCAGTGGAATACTTACCACAACCCATACTTACCTATCCGGGGATGGCAGGAGTGGTAGCAAAACCAACAGATATCACAGGCTGTAAACAGCGTGGATCCGCAAAGATCAGCAAAGCAAAGCAGAGCTGAGATATGCAATCTCATGTCAGCCTGAGCAAACCAAGTGGCCCAACACCCCCCATTCCCTCCCCCTCAATGAAGGTATAAAACAAAGAAGTAAGTAAGCTGGGATCATGACAAACCAGCCAAAGCCTCTGCAGTAGTGCAAATTTACACCTTGTAAGCAATGCTCATTGAGCATCCCAGTGCTTAAATGAGGGAATTCGGGAAGTCCCTGCCTCGTTGCTCCAGTGGCCACACCTTTTTCTTTTTGAAGAGGCGCCACTCTAATTTCGTAACCAACTTCCAGAGGTGGTAATGGTTGTGTTGTCTGATCATGGTAACTCCTTCTGTCTTATTAACTCAATCTTCTTTTCAACACCTTTGATTATGTGAGGACATAGCGAGGCTGAGGCAGTTGGCTTTAGTGTCTTAGTTCTTTGAGACAAGAGCCTCTGGGCAGCACCTGATGCAATGGTTTCAACAGGCTTGTTCCTGTATTCTAAAAGGGCAAGCCAAGGATCTCTTCAATCTCAAAGTGCTTTCTTGAATGGCTCTTGGTGACCTTAACTGTATTTTCTGGCTTTACCATTAGACTAATTTGGTGGTGTGGAGATGATTTTACATGCTTGAATTCCCACTCTTCAGTGAACCTTCTGAACTCATCACTTACATGTATTAGTTGAGGCCCATTGTCGAAGACTACATTTAGGACGTCGGGTGTTCCATGTACTTAAATTTTTAAATTGTTCCTTTAAGAACTAAATGACGGTTGGAGAAGTTTTGCCACTGAGTTATTGAACTTAAACAAAGTCTGAGTAGTAATCCACCAGAACAACCATACTCTTTCTTCTGAAGTGTGAACAGGGCCATGGCTTACCTCGGCTCCAGGGACAATTAGGCACTTTAGAGGCTTGTTTAGGTTCTTTAGAGTTTCCTGCATGGAATTCTGCACACACAGAGCATTGAAATATGACTTCTTTAAAATGTTGCTGTTTGTATGAGGCTAGAGCTCTAAAGGCTCTTGCTTTTCCAAGGCATGATTTAATACCAAGATAACTTGTGCGACTTTGTGTGGTGATTTCTGGTCTGATCACCCTAGGGATAATGATGCGTTGACTTCCATTGTGCAGGTAGATTTCCTCTTTATAATATTATTCCAGTATTCTTGAACAGGTATGGGTACCTCACTTTTCAGTTCAGGCCATCCTACCAACATTATTGCCTTTAAGCTTTGGAGTTCTTCATCTTGTTCGGTCGCTTCTGTGGTTGCGCTAAACTTCCACTTGAACATGTGAAGGAGTCCAACGGGTTTAAGGCTTCAACCTCTGAGGCAAACACTTGGAACTCTTCATCTTCTTCTCATTTGCTGGCAAGATAAGCTCTTGATGGGTGATCTGCTAATTTGTGAGCCAGGCTTGTACATTACATCCAAATTAAACTGTTGTAGGGGTAATAACATTCTCTGTTACCTTCCCAGAGCTGTTAGCATGGATATCTTGAAAATTGATTGAAATGGCTTGTGATCTGGTTCTACAGTGTTCTTGTCTCGCCGTGAAAGGTATTAGTTGAAGTAGTGGTAGGCGAACATGATTATTGTGCATAATTAGTTTGCTCTGTTGGTGTTAATGTCTTTGATGTAAGCACAACTGGCTGGCTGTTCTGGAGAACCACAGAGCCCATTATTCTCTCTCTTGCATCACATGTAGGGTGACTTCTTTATCGTAGTACAGTGTATTTAAGAACGGGCTGGTTCGCCCCTAGCATCTTAATTTCTTGGAAGGCTTTATCACCTTTCCTTAACTGTATCACCTTCTCCTTATCAGGATCTGCTTTGAGTCCATCCTTGCTTATGATCATGTGACCATAAACTTCACTTCAGGCTTCTTCAACTCCATTTTGCTGCTGTTTAGGTTAAGATTAACTTTGCGTACTCTTTCTAGTAATTTGATTAAGTTCTTATCATGATTACTGACTTCTTGCTCTCCCATTGCAGCAAATCCATAACAAAGATGTGATATCTAATCACGTCTACACCTTCCATTTACGTCTGACAGTTTTTCCTGTTGGATACTCTCAAATTCCTTTAGGTGCAAGGCTTAAACCATATTAAGGGCATACGCAGACAATGGTAGTGTCCAAAACTATCTGCTGCTGCTTTCATCAAGCGTACTGATGGCATCTGGTATTTAGGATGCTGAATTACTTTGTTCAGTTCCTGAGAGTCTAAGCATAATATTCAGAATGTCAGTTTTTGGCAGCCACTGTCACAATTATTGCTGATCTACTCTGTACGGGCTGCTTTTTCACAATGATACTATTTCTTTCTAGATCTCTGAGCTTCCCTGCCACTTCCCTCTTTAGGGCTACGGGTATGTGTCTAGAGGTGTGACATACTGGAACTGCTGAGGGATCGACTACAAATCTGCTAGTACCAATGTGTCTAAGATCTTTGAAGACATCACCATAATCTCTCAGTATACTCTCTGCTGATAAGAGAGCTTGTTTGTCATCCAAGACTAGAACTTCAGCTTGAGATGCTACTGTGAGAGGTTTTACTTTTGACTGGTTTCTGTGGATAGTAAAGCCTTTTATTGTTTGTTTCACCTATGACTTGAAACTTTGAAACAATAATCAGGTACACTGTAGCCATCAAGTACACTATAATTTAATATTAAAGCTTGGTTTTGCTAGTTTCCATGGATTGCCATCTTGCTTGATAATCAGCAAATCTCTATAGCTGAGTACATTACAGGTGACTTCTGTACCCAGCTGACATTTAAGCTTGGTTTCCAGCTTGTTTTGATTGTAGAAACTGAGTTTTGGGAACAATCAATTACCACAGGACTCCATAATTGAAATATCTTCCTGTTTGAGAACTGGTTCCTCTGAATCTGACTTTTCTTAGCTTTCTTTTAGGATTTCTTCTTCAGGCCATACACATGCTCGCAAAATTATCTTAATGCCACTTGTGTTGGGTACAACCGTTCCTGCACTTCTTATTACCAGTGCACAGGAACAAAAGGAAAGCTTCTTTGAAAGAAATCTCTTACATGTGTGTACACTCTAGAGACAAAACGATTGATATTGTGTGTTCTAATGAAATAACCAAGAAGCAATTGGAGTCAATAAAAGTGACACCGCTAGCCTGATGAAATGTAAATCTCATAGCTATAGGGGAAAGTAAGAGTTCCAAGAAGCCACCAAAAAGCAGGAAATAAACAAGGAAAGAATAGTTTTGACCCCTACTGGAAGCGAAACAACATTCATGTATGTCAACGAGGCCAATGACTAATCTGTCACAGATTAATTCATCTGTTATGGTTCCAAATTCACAAGACAACGCAAGCTTTCGAAGGCGAGTGATGTAGTTGTCAATTGATTCTCCTTTGTTTTGCTCACAAGAATTAAAGACATGCCATTCATAAAATAATTATGTTGTGTTGGGGCTTGAAATGTAGTTTTCTAATGCATTCATGCATGCTTGCTTATTATTCCTGTTCTTGTCCAAGGTCTTAAGATTAAGAATGTATCTTTACAGCACCTACATTTTGTGTACCAGTATTGAATAATACAAAAATTAATGTAATCTATGATAATCATGACTTCACTTTACTTGACTTTAGTATTCTTTTAGCATTACACTCTTGCAATGTTGGATTCGATTTATTTCTTGCTTCATTTTTCTATTTATGTTTTATCCCACCTTTGAACTGGCATGCAGTGGTCTTCTGATTCTTTATACATCCTTTGTGGAATGTTTAAGAGAGGGATTATACAGGTATCGACATATTTTAAGTGTGTTGAGATGTTTCCAATTACATGTACATGTACCCTATTGGTACTTAATTTTACAGACCCATCTAAGCATATTTTGCTATCGTTAATTAGCCTGTGTAGCCTGGTGGCTTTGGTTGGACGTGTAAAACAAGCCAGATGCCTCTCAGTAGTGCGCCCAACAAACTGTCATGCTACGCTGGCTTTCGTAAGATAGTTACAAAATTTATAAATATATAAATTATACAAGTTATTGAATAAATCCTTGTGAAATTTAATACCCCCCCATAATGAAAACTTTATTCAACAACATAGACAGGATTTGTACAGTCAAGTATATATTATGATAAGTTCAATTTTGTATCTTCTTTTGTGAAATACCAGTTTAATAATAGTTTATCTTAATAGTTATTTTTTTGTGTTTTGTTTGCTCCAGTTTATTTAAAAAATTTTCAAAGTTCAGAGACTTTTTGTAAATAAAAAGAAGCTGAGAACGTTTAAATTGCAAAGATTAATACCCTCTTGTTGATCTTAATTTTGCCTATTGAAATTGTGATAATAAAGCCACATAAAATACTGTGTCACAAAAACTGTGAAATTAAGTACCTGAGATATATTGAAGTACCAATAAGTTGTGCTGAAGCCGGCTTACTAATACTTTTTTGTTTGTGTTGTTCTTTCGATTAGTGCTTATAATGAAGAAATTGGTTTTCCTCAATTGTCTTTCAATGTATGGCTCCATTAAAGTCAGCTTGGCAATTGAATGTACAATGTACCCTTTAAGTCAATTTTACAAAGCAATGAGCAGGATCATTATTATTAGTAAATTTAGTAGTGCAGTTTTTTCATTTATTATTGTCTTATTAAACAATAATAACAACAGAAGAAAAAAAAGAAACAACAAAACAGTAATGCTGATTGTACAATGTAATTATGCATTAGGTTTGGTCATTGGAGAAACCTGATTGGACATGTAAGATAGACGAGGGATTAGCTGGACTGACAGCTGTGAGATGGAGTCCAGATGGTCGCCACATCTTGTCAACGGCTGATTTTCAGGTAAGGTTACAATACAGTTATTATATAGGTCTTTCAAAGGTTACACCAGTATTTAACGCCTGAGTCGCGCATGGAGGTTCGGTGCCAAGGGACCTGGGGGCTGGAGCTGCCGACCCCTAGCCCTTAGTAGTAAGAACGCCCCACACCAACCCTGCTAAAGTCCCTCCGGGATGAGCCAGCCCGGAGTGATGGGGGCTTGTGACCAATAAGCCACAGCCTCCGTGAGGGGGGTGGGGGGAGCAGACCTGAGGCACCCAACCCTAGTAGCAAGAAAGCACACAAACACCATACTGTACCTGCAACGCCAATTGACCGGAAACCTGGATAAGAGAGCCAGCTGATGTACGGGTATAGCACTGATATGCATCACTAAACCATCACCCCAAGAACTTAATCAGGTGATCTGGAAGTCCCGGGGATGCCACTGTTCTAGCAGCACCGATACGGAAGCTATGGCCAGAGTAACTACCCCAAAGGCCTGCCAAATGTAGAATAGACTGTACTGAGGACGACAGCAGCTGATGTGTCAAGGGACGACCCTCTGTATAGCAAAACAATGGCCCTGGGGAAGGGCCACTCACCGCCAGTAAGTTGCACAATGCCTCTACTGGGCAGACAGTGTTATTGCCCCGTCCTATGTACACCTGTAAGTGTCACAGCCAAGACCAAAGGGATCCGTCTTTGAACACTTGATGTGAGTTTTTTGAAACACGTAGGATCCCCCAAGGAATCGGCCTGCACATCACTCACCCCCCAGATGAATGCTTTGGACAAACGGTGTATTAGTAGTAAATTTGCCAGCACTTAAAAAGCCAAAGAAACCAAGTCAGCTTGCCGCCCAGAGCATGACGGGGTCCCTGGAGTACAGATTTAGAGCGCGCTTAACAACGTGCAAGATATCGATAGTGATGGGAAGGCGCTTAGGGATGAGGAACCTTGCACATGCCTAACCCCCCTCAGAAGACGCTGAAGCTGCAAACAATTTGTAAGAGGATCTGGTAACCCATTGTTAATGTGAAAGGACTGCACCGCGCTAAGGTACACGTTGATGGATGAATGATTAAAGCTACTACTACTGTGGCCGAGCAAGAGCATGCCTCCATTCAGCACGCCTCTTCCAGGTCTCCCTATCCAACATAGATGATTAAGACTATCCGCCAACAACAAGGCAAAATGAATGAGAGTCTTCTTTTGGGCTGGGAGAAGGGCACCATTAAGACTAAGACGGTCATCTTGACGGCAGAACTCAACGTAGCGACGTTGTGCGGAGAAGTACACCTGATGCGTAGACGGAGCAAGGCCCTTGGTGAGGAAGAAATGGCACTAATCTGTCATGCGACACGTAGGGCTGTGAGGAGATCCGGGGGGGGGGGCAGGAAGGCGTCAGCCTTCTCTGCTTGAAGGGCTAGGTGCCGGAAACGCTGAAACTGGAAACGGGATAGAGTATCAGTAACTAGGTTAACTTTAGCATGAACAAATGAGGCCTTAAAGGGAAAGTAATGGCGCACTGCTAACAATGCTACGAAATGCATCGGAACCATTAAAGGAAGAATCTCTAGAGGTGCCAAAAGACAGAACAGCTACCACCATTTCATTGTCATACCAGAACTCGACCCTCCTCGAGGACCATTGACACGCAGCCACAACAACGGGAAAGAGTTCCTTGTACACAATAAACAGGGGTTGCTGTGATGCTAACCACAAACCTCAAAACCACTGGTCGTTGAAGATAGCACTATAGCACAGAGTACCTGCGGCATCGAATGAAACTTGGAAATCAGGAAGAAAGCTTATTCTGACATCAAGAAGAAACTAAGCCTATCCCACCTTTACAAAAGACTGCGCCACCAAGTCAAGTCCAGACGGAATTCCTGCTTTAAACGAATTGGATTGAATAAAATTTAAACGAATTGAATTGGATGGTCATCACGTTGGTTAGTACTCTGTAAGTTACTCATGCGATGGGGAGACGTTCTAACCTGGAGGGGGGGGGGGGGGGGCTATTTTGCACGCCCGGGGGGGGGGGGCCAAAAGGGGCCCCAGCAGGGAAATGATTCCCTCTCTTTTTTCAGGGGGAACCGGGCCCGGGGGATGGCCTGACCCCGGAAGGGAGACGGGCCCCCCAGCTTGTTCGGGGGAGGAGGAGGGCCAAGTTGGGAACACCGCAGGGGGGGGGGGGGGGGGGGGGGGAGGCTATCTTGCACGCACTGGTGGAGGTGGCCAATAAGGGACTCAGCAGGGTAATGATTCGCTCTCTCTTTTCAGCGGGAAGCCGGGCCTGTGGCATGACTGAGCCCAGTAAGTAGACGGGCCCTCCAGCTTGTTCGGGTGAAGAGGAAGGCCAAGTTTGGAACACAGCTGAATACACGCCTGCAAATTGTTGCGACACACCGAGGAGGCTGGGGGACCCAACGTGAGAGTGATCTAAATAATGACGAAAGCAATCAACACCGTGGCGAGAGGTCAGCATCCACTGGACCATATCCGCAATAGCAGTAAAAATGTATGGAGCCGACTAAAGACCAAACAGGAGCGCCAGGGCCACGTAGTATTTTTCCCGTCAATTCATTCCCAAAAGCTGGCGATCCAAAGGACGAATAGCAGCATTGCGATAGGCGCTGGCCACGTCAAACTTCGCCATCAGTTCCACGGCCTCTGGCCATGATATCGAAGGTAGAACATATGTTGGATGAGGCTGACTGCAAGGAGTCTGACAATGCCTCGAAGCTAATGCGAAAAGCATTGTGGCGACCATTTGAAACGTATGCCGCTGCTGCCCTATCAGGGTAATCAACCAACTCCGCTTGGAACTGAGAAAACTGTAACGGACACACTAAATGTACAGGTGCTAAAGGTGAAAACGAGCCGACAGGAACGGACATGTCACGAGAATCGACAGAACTAGAGCAAAACGAAGCCGCTGAGCAAGGCAGTCTACAAGGGTGGTCAGGACGAACAGGAACAGTACATACACAATTTACAGGAAACACTGTACGCGGCTGGACCCCCCTTAGTACCTCCCTCCTGAGGCAGGGGAGTGGGAGCGAGAGCGATTGGTGCCAGGAGAAAGAAACAGGTAGCGTACCCTCGGATGGTCTCCGTCACATGAGCTGCAGACGTGGCAGAAGCGGGACTCCCCAAAAGGCCAAAGGCAACGACCTCTGTTCTATGAGATACAGTATGGGGGCGGGCTTTGTTTCCCCAGTTAGCTGCCACTAGTATGGATGGGCTGAGGACGACGGCAATGAGGTGGAGAGAGGTGGCAAGCACAAGCGAAAATTCATCTTGGAACAGTCAGATGCCCCAGTTGCCGCAGCATCCTTTCGAAAGGTAAGGTCGTACTCTAACGGTAGCCATGCACGACTAGGTGTTTGGCGGGCATTTTGGATGATCAGCAACTTGTATTTAGTCAGGTCTGACCAGCGATGGCGATGGGAAGCACAGATTACAACACAGATTACAGAATTTTGGTAGATAGCAAAAGCCTTTGTCCAAGTAAGAATGTCTTCTACTTCAAACAACTGACACTTTTTAAAGACCAATGGCTTGCCATCCAGAAATGACTGTGGCTCAGCTCCTGGTCGACACCACAGAGATTGGTCGACAACAAGTCAGCTAATTCCACAAACTCGCCACTGGTAATTTTTTGACCAATTTTGCAGGGATGGGAACACGACCCGGGCCCACCACAAACGGCTTATCGCAAGATGGGGCCAAACTGTTGCTGCCCAAAGAGAGGCTGGAAATATTTAATGCTATAATTGGAGCAGCGATCGATTGAGCAAGGCAGACCGAGCAAGAGCCGGTGATGGTGGGAACGGCGGTGAACGTAGACAAAAATGACGGTAATCTCAACATACCTGAAGCGGAGGCAAGCGAACTGGCAGCAACCATTGCTGAACTGGAAACAGCGCTGGAAACAGAAGGAGGAGGAGGAGGAGGAGGAGCCACTTTGGAAACTGGAGCGGCGTGGCTCTCTACACAAAGCGTACGACAAAAGTCGGTAGGGAATGAAGCGCGTGGGCCACCGCGACCGCGATCTGGTTTGAAAGCGAATTCGATGCTCCCGATGAAGTTGTTGTGATTGCCACTGAATCCGCTGATGATGGAAGAATCGAGGTAGAAACAATTGGCAACAAGTCTGCCGACAAAGTATTGAACGTAGATCGCGGAGTTGTCATACTGCAAACTTGGAAATAACCAGAAACGAATAGGCCAACCCACGAGTACCGCGCAATAATGCAATGCGACGAAAAAACACTAGTGATCTTCAAACTGAACGAGACGCCCTATGAAGTCCGAGACAAAACACTAAAAGTGAGCAACACTGCGCAAGATGCCCGAAACGCTACGCACTGAAAAACTATGAGCACATGTAAACGCGCACGCATAAATTGCAACAGTAAACTGCTGACCAAGGGGGCATTTGAAATTGTCCGCAACAGGCCTAGGACAGTAACACAAACCCTGCCAAAAACGCCAGAGCACGCCAACGAAACGCTAACAAACGCCAACGCTAAGCTAATGCCCAGCCAACTACTGAGCAGCTAGATCCTCCTCGTTAACTAAGTCAATAAGTATATTTACTTTCATTCCACCTACATTAGAACCCTAGCAAAAAGTTTGCCCTAATAGTTTGAATACTTGCTAGTTAATCTGAAGAATTTATGTGTAAGCAGCTGTTTTTATAGTAATGTAAAATTATTTTAAATTTGTTGATTCCTTCTCCAATCCTTTTTTCAAACTGGACGAATGGACCACCTAAATTATTTTTTTAGTGTAGCACACCTCAGTTATTTGTTCTTTTCTACTCTTTATAGTTCCTTGAAACAACTTTTAATCATCTCTACATTGTACAAAAAAAATGTATATCAATATTTAATAAAAGCCATATCCCTATTAGACATAGCCTGTTCCAGGCGTTGGGATAGTGGATTGTGGTGCGAAGTCAGAGAACGGGAAAAAATAAGGAAGAGATGGAGAAAGGAGGGACTCACCCGCTACTCCACCCCCTCACTGTTTTTTTCTGCTCACATCTCTTTGCACCGTCCTCACGATTCAAACATCTCCCCCCATCGGTGGGGGCTCTCTTATTTAGCAAAAACCGGGGTATGTCAATTGGTGCCTAATGAACAGGATACGGTTTACTCTGTTTACATCGTTCTTGAGTCTTTTTTCTCTCTTTAGAGTCTTGACCAAGATCTTTTTTTTGGACCAGCAGCATCTTGACTGTCTATTATGAACTGACTATAATGTCTTACAGTATGCTTGAAGAAACTATGATAATATTATCAGGATGGGCCCCTGCTATTATACAATCATCACAATTTATCAATCAAAATTCAATGTGTATTTTGAGAAGTTTGCCTTTTAATAATCTTTTTCTTATCAGTTACGTATCTCGGTATGGTCTCTTGTAAGCAAGTCTGTCAGCTACATCAAATATCCTAAACATGCAAGTGCAGGTAAATACCGTCCAATGTATGTACATTTTACTTAAAAGTATGTTGCCTAAGTTCTTCACTAAGTCTTGGAGTAGCCTGCAGTGCAGGCGTTTTCTTCGGGCGCGCGAATGTTTTTGCTCGCGAAAGCACAATGTTGAAACTCCAAAAGAGAAGAGGAAATGGGGCGAGTCACGGGCACCTACCCTAAGGGTTGCTATTTTCTACTCTCTCCAATCTTCCTCTGTCATAAAATCAAAGGTGGCAGCTACAACAATACAAACATAAACAAGCAGCTTTCGCCCGCCCAAAATACGCCTGCATTGCAATCTAGTTTTGAAGTAACTCTATTATATTAATTGTTTATGGAAAAGAGCGAGAAAATGCATTAATTAGGTGAATTTTGATCTCTCTCTGTAATATACCCCCACCCCTTGTTTAAGAGGCAAAGATTTTAAAGTAAGGAAGTTAGTTTTAGAACGATCATCAATACATGTACATTTCCCATTCTTTTGGGGCAATTCATCAGATGACCTTATGGACCCATTCTGTGCACCCACTGCCACAAAACAAAAATCGGTTTGTCAGTTATAATGTTTAGGCAGGTTTTACAAAACACGTGACGAAGATAATAAATTATACTACATAATAATCTTTTCAATATTATTAATCTTTTTTATGCCTTATTGTTTCTTACTAGGCCTCGATTTCAGTAAAGATGGAAAATACATGGCATTAGCGGAAAGAAGAAACTGCAAAGATTGCCTTAGCATTTTTCATTGTTCCTCTTGGCAACTAGTAAAGGTACATGCATTGTAATTATGTACAGTAGTTGTACAGCAAAACTGCATCAAGGTTTTTTTGAATGTTCACATTTATCTGATAGACTTTATTCTTTCAGTCCTAACTACATGTATCTAACAGTACTTTAAAGCCAAATTAAAATTTTTCAGAAAACTTTAATTTTAATTTTCTTCTTCTTGTAAGATGAAAATAATATATATTATAGTAATACATTGTAGGTTATATTAGAATGGTAACACCAAAGGATTTCATCCACTAGTTCCAAAATTAGTTTTTGGCATTTTAAAAATAACAAATTGACCACATTTTTCATGGCCTTTACTCTTATTTACCAAAAATATGATTTAAAAAAATGTTCAAAACTCACTGTGTAAAGTTTTAGACATTCACGTCTGCAGACTGCATCCCTGTTGCTAAGGATGTCTGATAGTCTAATGTTTTATGTTCTTGTTTAAGGCAAGTTCAGTGCAAGGCACAAGAGACACCAAAAGTCGTGTTTCTATTAAATTGTACGTTTTAATGTGTCTTTCAGCACTTTGAAGTGGACACAAAAGATCTTGCAGATTTAGCTTGGTCACCTGACGGAAGAGTTTTGTGTTTGTGGGAGTCCCTGCTGAGAGTAAGTTTGAGCAGGCATAGTCAATACTGTAGTAATACATTTACAGAATTTCGTTTAGAATATTTAATGGATTTTGATTACATGTACATCATTCCTAAACAAAAATAATAATAATTAATTTTAAAAAGGAGGAGGATGAACCTACAATTTATTTACATGTACATGTAACATGCTGCGTGATCAGCATAGAGAAAAATTACCCCATTTTTTTTTTTTTTTTTGCTCTGACAGTAGAGCCTATTTGCTTCGGAAATGCAGAGATCGACGCTTCAGTTTTTTTCAAAGGAGTTGGAAGGTCTTTCCAAATATCTGTAGCCGTGAACGGTGTTGATTATTGGCCTGGTAGTGTTTTTACATTAACAGGTTCCTTCTCTCCAGTTTACTCTTCCTCATTTGGACAAAGCAGAGTGCTTCATGTAGTATGGTTATCTAAGAGGTCAGGTCTAAAAGTAATCTTTCGATCAAGCATCGTTTTTGTAGGTTTTTACTGACTACTTTAGTTCACTAAACGCATTCAAGCGATATCAACTCTAAATAATTATCCATTCATGTATAATCTACAGTTCACAAAAGTACTTTGATGAGGGCTAAATATTCTCAACACATTATTAGCTAGAGCTCCAGATAATGGCTCCTTTCATTATTTTCAAAGATCAGTTTAACTGACCTTTGCATTTTCTGACGTACTGGTTGGGTTTGCACATTTATAGGATGAGTGTTTTAATAATGTTCTTTACGTTTCGAGGCAAGTTAATTTCCTCAAGGGTAAGGATCGTGTATTCAGGGTGAGCCTTGTTCTTGGTCTGTTTTATTAAGTGTCAGTTAAGGTATGGCATAGTCATTGACTCTTTGCTCCAACAATGGCTTTAATCATTTTTGTTGCATTTTTTGTTTTACTGAAAGACTCCTTGCTCCAGTTTCACTCCATTTATGATCTTGTAGTAGAATGCGGTTGTCAATGAAAACTTTTAGCTTGTTTTGTTCACATTCATATCCAAAGATTATGTCCTCAAATACTGGAAGTTCTGGTCTGTAGTAAACGCCCTTTTCCTTGAGTAACTGAAGGTTAAGATACACGGCGATCCGTGGAGGTGAACAAACGAACGGATTTTTCAACGGCCCTCGAAATGTCCTGAATCGCTTTGGACTTATTGCTGCAATAGGGTAATTATCCTTTTGTAACTTTTCTACTAGCTTTTCAATTCGCTTGAAGACAAGTTCAAATGGTCGGCGCCTCTTCTCATCAATATACGATTTTGGTATACTTTGAGGATTATATTCATAGAAGCATTCGACGCTGTCATCATTCATCCAAATGAAATGCAACTTCAAACGTAATGCAATTTTCAGGATCCAAAATCTTGCGTAACCCGCTCCGATTTCCCTATGTGGGAGGCTAATAACAGGGAACCTGTGCCCATGATTCCTCACGTACTTGTCGAACTCAAAAGGCGTGACTACTAGAATCCTGATAGTCGAGTCCTCGGTGATAATTTCGCAATCATGACCAGAATCGTCATCGCCATCCTCATCGCCGTTGTTATCATCGTCATCATCATCTACATCATCATTGTCAAAATCATCATCTTTGTAACCTTCATCATCGTCGTTATCGTCCTCCTCTTCATCCTGATCATCATCACTTGGCCACTTCATTAAGGCAATCTTTGCCCTGCGAAAAGAGGGTACGAAAATCCATCGTTGGTCTTTCTTTTGTGGTTCAATAGATCTTATTCGCTTCCCATCTCCGATGTTGAACCAATCTATAAACGAGTCAGGCAGATACATGTTAATATTATATTCACAGTCAAGGTGACAGTAGTTTGCTTTATTTGGCTCTTTAGGATGCTTTGAAGAAAAGGCCTTTAGCTTTTGTTCTTCGTCACCAGGTGAAGCCTCGTCTTTTGGTCTCACTCCTTTCTCCTCTTGAACTATTTCTAGTATGTGTGGATGAGTACTAGAATCAAGACTATCCTTTTCTTTATCTGTTAATGCCATGTTGTGTTTT